TTTAAGATAGAATTGGCACAAGTGCAATAGTTTCAAGACTCTTTTGGTAATTTCCCCGTTTTCAGTCTACGGAAAACATGTTCCGTATATCGATTGGTTTTTTATCATCAAAATACCGAAAAGCCGAAATGCAATTTTCGGAAACAGTTTTCTTCCAAATAGATGGGCCATCAGTAAAAATACGTCGTGTCTACCAAATACTACCTAAAACTTTTTGTCAAGATAAAGAATTCCCATCTCGTATTCACTCTCTATCGAAAATTTCTATGGCATGTATAATGCAATCACACGTTCATACTCAATTACAATGAAAGGGTTATAATGTCATAGATTCATTTGCGATATTTTTGTTCTGAATGACGACTCCATGCATAAAATGGCACTGCGCAAAGAGATCATTCGAACAAGGAGCTACCAACCAATCATGGCGATGGCGAGGGCAAAATACGGTTTTAATTTTTCTTTGGGTTAATACCACGGAAAACTCTAAATTGGTACACTTGTGATAAATTTATCTCAAACTAATTTTTTGACCACTAAAAACTCCAAACTGGTATATTTATGGCAAATTTAACCCCAAACTAATTTTTTGACTACCAAAAACTCCAAACTGGTACACCTGTGACAAATTTACCCTCCGTTAAATTGGATTAATATCACGAAAAATCGCAAATTGATAAATCTGTGACAAATAGAAGGGTAAAACCCTACACTAGCACATCCGTCAATTGCCACGTGTCATTAAACTGATCAATTTGATAGTAAAATTTAATGGAAACCTCGCCCTATTACCGATTCGACCGGGTCCTGTGGCCGCTATGTTGATCATCAGGAGGTCGAGCCAATCAAAGACAGGTGTTGACCCGGTTCAACCATTTGAATACGTGCCACGTTCGATCGAATCATGGTGTTAAATTAATGGTGTTCCAAGGTGGAGGTTCAATCCCTCGGTTGGACCGTCGGACTATTACAAAGGCAGACTTTGAACACGCGATCTTGAAAGTGTCTCGAGACATCTAAGATTGATGAAAGAACATACCAACCACCGGTCGAATTTGCACCATATATTAACCATTTTTGTGCTCTTGGTGATACGAATAGGGCCGGTACAATTGGTCGAACAAGTTGAAATCGAGAATAAGCCCGCTCGTCCGGTGTGGTCATCGATACGATTTCCAAAACATTATCTCTCGCGTCCTATCATGAGCTTAGTGGTTAAAGAATCATTATAAGAAAGAAAAAACAACCCTCTTTTCACCTAACTTATCTGAATTGAATATGTTCCTGATTGAAAAAGAACAAGATAAAAAGGACATGAAAAAAGGTTTGTAGATAACCTCTTCTATCTTCACTGAATTAAACAAAGATTCCTCAAGTTGCAAATAGGTGCGTGATAAAACTTTTGTTTATGCCCTGCTAGAAGGACATGAAAAAGGGTTAATAGTAAGTCTGATTTCTTTTAATCAATTAGGGTACAGACATTGAGATCGAACTACATAAAATTTCATCTAACACCCTACAAATCCCATCAGTCGGTTAGGTCCAGACCATTCGCCTATGAATGTGCTCTTGACTTGGAGCATAAAATCAGAGCATTTGCACGTTATTGGGGGATTTGAAGGGATTTGAACGGATGACTTTTAGGGTGCGAATGGTAACCATTCTGCTCCAGAAATCAAATTCTTGCCAGAAATTGATTTCTGGAATTCTTGCCAGAAATTGATTTCTGGAGGAGAAATCTGTTTGGTAAAACATGACTAATTCTGCTCCAGAAATTGATTTCTGGAACAGAAATCTATTTTGATTTGTTGATTTTTTTTACACCTAAAAAAATTTAAATTTTACTCAAAATGGGTGGCCACATGTATTATAAGTCATTCTGTAAAGTTTTGAAATTTTTGATTTTTTTAAATTTTTTTGGGCACCTAAAAAAATTTAAATTTCACTCAAAGTGGGTGGTCACAGGTATTCTAAGCCATTTTGTGAAGTTTTGAATTTTTTTATTTTTTTAATTTTTTGGGCACCTCAAAAAATTTAAATTTTACTCAAAGTGGGTGGCTACAGATATTCTAAACCATTCTGTGAAGTTTTGAAATTTTTTATTTTTTTTATTTTTTTGGGCATCTCAAAAAATTTAAATTTCACTCAAAGTGGGTAGCCACAGGTATTTTAAGACATTTTGTGAAGTTTTTGAAAATTTTTATTTTTTTATTTTTTTTATTTTTTTTTGGGCACCTCAAAAAATTTAAATTTCACTCAAAGTAGGTGGCCACAGGTATTTTAAGCCATTTTGTGAAATTTTGAAAATTTTTGATTTTTTTTGGGCACCTCAAAAAATTTAAATTTCACTCAAAGTGGGTGGCCACATGTGTTTTATGCTATTTTGTGAAGTTTTGAAATTTTTGATTTTTTTTATTTTTTAAAAAATATTCACTAAATTTCATATTTTCCCGAAATCTGACTTTTTTTTTATTTTCTAGAAATTTTTATGAATTTTTCTAGAATTTTTCAATTTTTATGCATTTTCTAAAAAAAAATTTGTGAGAAAATAGGGAGAATGCATTCCGGAATCAAGAAGCTACAAAAAGTAGCTTCTCTTTTTCTTGCCAAAAACTCATTCCGGAATCAAAAATGCATTCTGGAATCAAGAATGCATTCTGGAATCAAGTATTTTTAACAAACGCATTTTTATTCCAGAATGCAAAAATCGCTCCAGAATGCATTCCGGAAATTTTTTAACAAACGTCATTCTGTTCCGGAATGCATTCCGGAACAGAATTTTTATTCCGGAATGCATTCCATGCGCACCCTTAGTTTCTGGACTGAAAATCCCGAACGTTCAGCCAATTGCGCAAACATTGAAAAACGTTCTTGTTTTCTATATTTTTTTGGGGGTCTTGCTTTCTTGAAAAATGAATTTCGGCTCGCAATCATGATAACTTTAAATAATATTGTTGTTATCACATGGCAATCTCTGTTTTCTCTCTTAAAAAAAATTCAATCATGGGATAAGTCCAAAAAGGAGCAATTGGCATAGACCAGTTCTCAAATTTACTGTTCTCAGGTAATTGTTTTTCGACTTTCCGATATTTAAATAACAAAAAATTAATTGATTTTCGAAAAACGTTGGTGCATTTGTTTTACTAAAAAATTCATGATAAAGAAAAATATTTTTAATGAAAATCATTTTCAAGGAAAAATTATTAGTTTCTATTTGGTTGATGGTTTAGGGAAAATGTGAAGGAAAAATGTTAGTTTCCTTTCAGTTTGGCCAATTTAGCCTTAAACTTTTTAACAATTTATTAATGAGGTCCATTTGGTCATAAATCGCTGACATGGATGCTAGACATCCTACGTAGCACGGCTAGCGCTAACGTGGATAATTTTTTGCAATTTTTAATAATTTTTAACAATTTTTTCATTTTCCTCTTTTCTTTCTTTTCCTTTTTATTTTCTTTATTTCTTTTTATTTTTTAAATGAGGCTGGTGACTCTCTAGCATTGGGCGAGGGCGTCGCGGCCCTTGCCATATTTGGGCAAGGGGCCGCGAGCCGTCAATGTGGCCAGCGAGGGTTTCCCTGCGACCATCGAGGCTGTGGACTAGTCATGGCCACGGTTCGGAACCGGTGGCTCCGGTTCGTGGCCAAGTATGAACCGGACGGTTCCGGGCCGGTTCCGGTTCCGATTCAAGTTCGAAACCGGTCGGTTCGGAACCGGTTCTGGGCTGGTTCATAATTTTTCTTTTCTGTTTTTTTTCTTTTCCTTTTCTTTTTTTTTTCTTTTCTTCCTCCGCCGGCCATAGCCGGGGCCGGCGGAGGTCGTTGGCCTCAGGCGAGGCTGCCCTCGCCGGTGTTGGGCGAGGGCCGCCCTCGCCGGGCCGGGCGAGGCCGGCCTCGCCGGCGCCGGGCGAGGGCTCGACCTCGCCGGCGTCGGGCGAGGCTCGACCTCGCCGGCGTCGGGCGAGGGCTCGACCTCGCCGGCGTCGGGCGGGCGACCTCGCTCGCACCGGCGAGGCCGGCCTCGCCGACGCCGGCGAGGCTCGACCTCGCCGGCACCGGCAAGGCCGGCCTCCCGAGGCCGGCGAGGTCGAACCTCGCCGGATCTAGCGAGGCTCGATCTCGCCGGCGTCGGGCGAGGCCGACCTCGCCAACCTGGCGAGGCCGGCCTCGCCCGATGCCGGCGAGGCTCGACCTCGCCTGCAACTGGCGAGGCCGGCCTCGCCCGACGCCGGCGAGGTCGAACCCTCGCCAGATCTGCAGCTTCTTTTTTTTTTTTTTTTTTTTAACCGGGCCTGGAACCGGCGGTTCCGGGCCGGTTCAAAAATTTCTAGAACCGGAACCAGGCCCGTAGGACACGGGCCGGTTCCGGTTCCAAACCGCGGGCCCGGTCAACGGGCCGGTTCTGGTCCGGTTCCGGGCCGAAACCGGCCCGTGGCCATGACTACTGTGGACTGACGAAGGGAAGTAAGAGAAAATGAAAAAAGAAAAAGAGAAAAAAGGAAAAAAATATTAAAAAACTGCAAAAATTGTTCATGTCATCAGTGTTGGTGATGCAACGTATAATGACCGGTGTTCAAGTTAGCGATTTTCGATCAAAATTAGTCACATGGACTTCATTGCCTGATTGTGGACTAAATTGGCCAAATTTAAAGGTTTAGGATTGAATTAACAAGCGCGATAGGTTCAAAACTTTTTTTGTTAATTTCCTCGTTTTTGGTCTATGTAAAACATTTTTCATACATCAATTAGTTTTCTGTCGTCTAAATATCAAAAAACCTAGTAAAAATATGTCTTGTCTACTCAATACAACCTAAAACTTTTTGTCAAGATATCAAGTTAAAGTAGTCCTATCTCGTATTTGCTCTCTATCGAAAATTTCTACGGCATGTCCAATGCAATCACACCTTTGTACTCAAATACAATGAAGGGTCACAATGTCATAGACTGTTTTACGATGCTTTACGACAAAATGATCATTCGAACAGGAGCAACCAACCAATCATGGCGAGGGCAAATACAGTTCTAATTATTCTTCTATGCGATTAAGGTTGTCGTTTTCTTCCTCCTTTTTCTTTGGTAATGTCTGTCCAATGAGTATTTAAGGTTGGTGCTGATCGTGACTCATTGGGTACTCGGTCCTGATAGACGCACACGGGCGTTGCAGAGAGAGAGGGGGAGGTGGTGGCGGCGAATGGGGTGGGCAATAGCACTGCAGGGAGGAGCAGGGGACATCTCGCCGTCCCTGCTGCCCGAGCGCCGCCTCGCGAAGGAGGCCTGCCTCCGCCACTGCCTCCGGCTCGGCGTCGACGCTCTCAAGTCCAAGAAATCTCCCCTAGACGTCGTCGAGCTTGTGGTAATTTGATTTACACCAGGTTTCTCTGTAAGCATCGCTCTTACGTGTTTCGTGATGTGATGACGAGTTTTTCTAGTTCATGGGTAAAAGAAAAAACCCGGAAAAAAGGTTGTATTTTTGAGCTGCTAGGAGAGTTGTGCTTGTAGATTTCAAATGACCCATCTGGTTTCTTTGTTCTTGCTTTATATTTTCTTGTTTTTTTTGGTTTATGATGGTGTACGTAGCAACGTAATCCCGGGCTAATGAATGATCTGCAGTATGTCATCTTACTGAACTTTGAACTTGTGCCATGTGTCCTTGTGTGCACTCTCTCTCTCTCTCTCCGGTTGACACTAGATCTTCCTGAGTGTCCTCCGCCCTTCACTCTGAAACCCTTACTTATCTCCACGCTCTTTGACACTTTGCTGGCTGATCTGGACATAAATTTGTGCTGGAAACTGATAGCTCCACCTTCATAAGCTTCCTGCAAGATTCCTCTCTCTGCTCGTGGGACGTTGAGCCTCTTATCACAGAATGTTTAGGCTTCATGGACTTTTCTGAGAGTGTTGAGCTAGCCTACTGCCTCGAGATTTAAATAGATTAAAAGATTGGGTTATAAAAGCCTCAAGATTTATGGCCCTTCCACATTATTGAGTTTCTTACTCACCACCCCCTCTATGGGAGATTCTGTATTTTGATGCCCCTTACTCTAGAGGGCTAGTTGTTAAATGAAATGACAAGTCTCTGTTATGTCAAAAAAATAAATAAATTGTGCAATGATAATTTAAGTCGTACCAAGAAGAAGGGGAATGAGGCATTAGCTTAGCAGTTTGAGTTGTCTAGCTTTAGTGTGAGATCCGGATGTTCGGTTTGTACTTTACACTCAGTTTTATGTACTGAACACAAGTATGGCTTGCTTCATCTTGGGTTTTAGTGTCTCTTCTAGGACTTTTAATAAACCTGGAACCATATCGAGAACATCCTAGCCTGAAGTATTTCACACTTGTTGATTGGAAATTTTCTGTAGAAGAATTTCAGGTCTGCTACAAATTAGTGCTCAAAAACACAAAAACACAATTGCAGGATGTTAAAACAGTTTTCAGAATAAGAAACAAAGAGGGAGAACCAAAAGTTGCTGGTTTTATACCTGCCGATGTTTTGAAAGTCTTAAGACATTTTCCCTGCAGGTTTCATCAATAATGACTTGCTTGAAATGTGAATTATGCTCTTTGAATTTTACCTATGATGCGTGGCTACTGTTTTTCTACGTGAGCCTATTCCTTCTCTAAGAATTTGGTTGTACCCTTACCGTGTTCGGGGATAACCAGGTCCGTGAGTTGGAAAACAACCCTCACTTCAATGCGGGTAGAGGGTCCGTCTTAACCAGCGATGGCACTGTTGAAATGGAGTCCTGCATCATGGATGGGAACACAATGAAATGTGGAGCTGTTTCTGGGCTCACCACTGTTGTCAACGCCATTTCTTTGGCACGACTAGTCATGGAACGAACTCATATATACCTGGCATTTGATGGGGCAGAAGCATTTGCGAGGGAACATGTGAGTTAAAAATCTTATCCGGTCACTCTTCTTAAGTGAAGGAGGTTTGATATACTCTAGCATTTCTGTAGTCTCTGGAACTTAATTGGTGATCAGAAGACAAAGACAGACCTTTTCTTTCTTGGCTGTGTTTTCGTATTTCGCTAGATATTGCTCATCGATTCAATCTCTCTAGCTCAATCAGGCCTTTTCAGCTTGCTAAATCACTTCTTCAAAGATATAAGGATTATGCGTCTCTTTAGCTTCCTTCCCAATTCTGAACTTATGTAAACACATACACATGTTGCAGCACACAATGCATTCGAACCTTTGATAGAATTGCCCTTCCAGTTTCCTTGTTTTACAATTGTTTTAGCTTCTAATCTTGTGTTTGGTGGAATTTTTAATCTTTGTTGACTTCTCAAATATGCCAGGGCGTAGAAACTCTTGATGCATCTCATTTTATCACTCCAGAGAACATTGAAAGGCTAAAACAGGCCAAGGAAGCAAACAGAGTGCAGGTATTTCCCTCATTTGAATTTCTGAGACTGCAAATTGGATTTCATATCTTCAATCCTTTATAAATGCCCTATTCCCCAATAATCACCCAATTTTTAGGTTAGTGCTAATTCTCGGCAACCCAATTATTCATCACACTAACTTCAGAGAGATAGGCAAAAGAGTACACTTCCTGTATGCAGAGGACAACAATTATGGGAAATGACTTGCTCCACTTCTACATTTTGTGGTGGCTTAAGTATCAGATCCTTTAACGCCAGAGCCAAATATATGCTGAATGGCGTACTGCATGTAACACCACGAATATTCTCTCCTGGGCCATGAAGAAGAACTTGTTTTTCTTGCTTGTTTGGTTCAAGAATCACTAGATATTGGAATTTGATTCTGTGCTCACATTTCTGTCATATAACCGCAGATTGATTATACCCAACCCATGCAAAAGAATGAGAAGGACGCAGCCACTACTGATGGCGACAGCCGAATTGGTACCGTGGGATGCGTCGCTGTAGATAATGATGGGAATTTAGCTGCGGCAACTTCTACTGGAGGTTTTGTGAACAAGATGGTCGGAAGGATAGGAGACACGCCCATCGTAGGGGCAGGGACGTATGCCAACAGTCTATGTGCAGTATCTGCTACGGGCAAAGGTGAAGCTATAATACGTGGCACTGTCGCAAGGGATGTGGCCGCAATCATGGAGTTCAAAGGACTCTCCCTGGAAGAAGCAGCTGCCTGCGTTGTGAAAGAGAGGGTTCCAAAGGGGAATGTTGGCCTCGTCGCAGTTTCTGCAACGGGAGAAGTCACCATGCCCTTTAATACAACCGGGATGTACCGAGCATGTGCTACCGAGGATGGGTACTCGGAAATTGCAATATGGCCTTCAACAAAAGATTGAAATGGTTTAGTTGTTCAGGGCGACATCTTGTCTTCACCATGATCAAATGCTCCTACTATTTACAGCAGTTGTAAAAATAAACACGCTCTGAAGATTGTCCAATTCCCGTCAGTTGTCAATGTTCAAGTACTGTATCTAGGACTAGGATATTTGCTGCCATTGTGGTGGCTGTCGGTATGAAAGAGTGGCTTTCGACTCTATTCCTCGTCCTTAAAATCCTCTTTCCTTTGCAGTAACTTAGTTAAAGTACCTTTGCAGATCTATCAGCAACATGATCTTTTGGATCGCCTTGCTAAGGTTTATATCAATGTATCACTTTTACTCGCACTAAGTTTGATCTTTGTTTGGCAGAAAAAAGACATAAAAAAAAAGCTTTGATCCTGAAGTTTGAAATGTCTCAGAACCAATGTATCCCGGATTATCAGATTTTACCGCAAAATGAGCCTTCTGTCATTTTTTCCTAAAGTCAGTCTATTTGTCAAGAGAACCACCGAGATCGCGACACCGATCAAGCAGCAGCCTACAATCATCCGTAATTGCGTTTCCCTAAGTTGTCCAGGAGAGATGAAAGTCTGTCGTGATTCAAAAAAGATGATCTGCAAAAAACTTATGAAAGCAGTCATATTGCGTAAACGTGATCCTCTGACAGCTTCATGTAGTTTCCACCGATAATTTGTAGTTACCAAATCTTCTGAGTGTATCATGCATCTCACATCACAGAAATCTTTGACAGCAGATATGAAAATAATTTGAGCTTCTATACGCAGCAAAAGCGAGCACAATGCCAGCATAACTATCAAAAGACCATTGTTGGTCAATTGTTTATTCAATATAAATTGTCACAACAAAGGCCTCTGCAGACCAGACGAGCATCGCAAGACAACCAGTAACTTTTCCATTCCCTCTTAAAATGAGAAGAGATAATTACAAAATCCGCTATTGAAAGGGGGAAAAAGAATAACTCTATACTTCTAGAAGGGTAACAAAAGATTCCACCAGAAAAATTTGAAGCCTCATATAATAATGAATTTCACTTTATCCTCTGTAAGAATAATCCTAATAATTTGAGATATAATTGGGGAAAAAGAGAAGAAAACCTCCTAACAACATTCAAAATTTTCTGCTTGTAACCCTATGCCAGAGCTGTAGCAGCTAGACGAAAGTGTCGGTCATTGCGTGAGCTACCAACAATCAAGAGGTAGAACATTTCATGCTGTGACACAGTCTTGGAGATACGGATGACTTGTATTCGCATACCTTTCCCACAGAGGCTTATACCTGCCAATGCCCAACTTGAGCCATGGCTTCATATAGCCATTGAAGTGAATGACAGCTGCGCTCTCTATTAGACGACTATCGATGTTCATGTCATAGCCCAAACCCAGCACATGCCATCGTCGATCGAGTGGCTCTGTGAGTCCATAAAAGGCTAAAAGGCCAGGTGGAAGCGTGCCAAGCTTCCACAGCGTCCCATCTGTGTTCTGCTGTTGCCAATATTGATACCGAGACGTAACATTTGCTTTCCTCCACACAATCAGATCAAAAACATTCATTCCAAATGCCCACCCACATGCTTGAGGATCAAACTTGGAGCTTATGAGCGGACTCGAAAAATTAAGATACCTGTAGTAGCGATGAAATGCCTCCAGGCACGTCTCCACTGCTCCATTAACATTTCCATGCAATTCCAACGAAAACAGCGGGGTCAATTCCTTCTGGACGACTACATCATCTTCCAGAAAAACCACCTTCTCCAACTGCGGGTAGATATCAGGGATGTAAAAGCGGAGGTGATCTAGTAAAGATAAATACTTTTGGTTCCACATCTTCGGCTCAGCATCTGGATCCGACAGCTGTTTCATGATAGGAGCAAAAGAAGCATTCAGCCAAGTAAACTCCTCGATATTCTGCACTTCTATGGTTGCTCCTTTGAAGTCATTACGGTGAAACCATGCCTGCATGGCTCCATAACTTATTCCATTCGTTACAACATGAAAGACAAGCTGTTGAGGATGATCCACATTAGAGACAGTAGAATTAACAACTACAGATGTCGCCAGCAAATTATCAGAGAATATGCAGAAGTGATACAGATTGTTGTCGACAAGCCGAGGAGAATATCTAGTCTCTTCCGTGAGTTGTTGCAGCGATGGGTTCCTGATCCAATCCACGGTGAGTTTCACATTTAGGCAATGGAGGGTTTTTGGTAATGCTTCCGCTGCCAGTTGTCCAAATACTGTGCTCTGAACTATAGCTACATTTGCACGCTCTTCAAGGGCTTGGATATGGGATTTCATTGTTGTTACTGTGGTTGCTATGTCGTAGTGCGCATCTTGTGCCTTAAAAATTAAAGAAGATAGGCTTTTAATGATTGGCTCCGCCTCATCTAACGTGACGGGCTCTCCTCTCATTGCAGCTTTTGAGAGTAAGAGCTGGCAACTTCGTATTCTTGAGCTCAGCTCCCATGCAAGGTGAAGGTTGTTGTGTTCCTTTGCTATGACGACATACGCCTTGGCAAGTGTCATTTGCTCTGCCAACTGCCGAGAAAGTGATGTCGTGCTCACTAATTCTTCAGTAAAATTTAAAACCCGATGAGCTTCCCATTGAGGACTTTCTCTTCTTTCCTGAGATACATTGTCAAAATTTATACCTACACCAACTAGAATGGTAACAGTCCAGGAACCAAAGAGCAATGGGAAACATTTTATTCAGTTCTAACAGTGCATATATAGGGAGGAGAAAAAGTGAGTATTTTGATCCTAAGTACATCAAAATGATGATCAGTTATACTACAAATGCCAATATACACATTCTGGCATTGAAAGCTACGGAAAACCTAGCAGAAGAGACAACATATCTAACTCTGCCAAAGTCGACTAACCATCTTAGCAAACCACGGCAAGCATACATTTTCTTTACGCTCACTCATAAATCCTGTGAGTGCAACAATGTCAAGAAGCATGATCTAGCTTCTTTCTCGATCACATGCCAGACAGATTACCTTCCTCATATTATTCCCCTGACCTTTGCTTCTCCATCTAATCTCTCTCAATGATTTTCTAGGTAGGAAGCATAGTTCAGCAGAAAAATTCTCAGGACTAAAGCCTTCGTTGTGATCACTCGCACGAGTAAATAGCTACCAAAGTTACAATAAGAGGTTAACCTAAACGCAGGTGGAACTAATGCCGAAAGACAGAACGTCCATAAGTTAAATGACAAACAATTCAACCAAGACACAACCAATTCAAGTAACGAGGGACAAAAAATTGCATCCTGAAAATCGAATTGAAATCAGCAAGAGGCCCGGTACCGACATCACCAATCGTCTAACATCATATCGGTATCAAGAGGGATTCCCCTTTAATTAGCCTGGTCAACAAATGAAGCAGAATCGTCAACAAAGCACCCTGCAATTATACCTGCACAGGCTTCCCGTCCCGATCCTCATTTTGATTATGCTGAACCACGAACAACAGCAACCCAGCGACTAAGAACAGGCCAAGAAGAGCCCAGATCCAACACCAATACTTCCTCCGCACCGGGCGCCGGTAGTCGGCGGCCCGCCGCCTCATCTTACGGCCACTCCCCCCCCCAACAATTCTACCACCGAATCAAGAATTCACGAGCACCCATTTCCCAGATTCGATCAAGAAGCCATCAAAAGGGCAAGATTTCGTCGTGCACGCCACACTCGCGTCAAGAAGCCGTTTGCTGCGGCGCGGCGCAATCCAACTCGATCGAGGCCGCAACGCCGCAGATTCTTGAATCAAGAAAAGGATGACGAAATTGGGGAGCTCGACGTGGTGCGAAATTACGTAAAAGCGATTGGTGGGTGTGCAGAGAGGATCGGAAAGAGAAGATCTTTGAAGGGAACGGAGGCTTCTCGAGTTGAATTGAATGCGATGTGGGGGGCTTGAAAGGGGGCGTTGATGTCAGGAAATCAGTTCCAGTGGGAGGGAAACAGCAAGAAAGGGGCGACGGCAGAACAAGAACATGTCATGTGAAACCACGTGCCACCCAGTCGCACGTTGTCTCGCTTGCAAAACACGGTTCACAAAGGCAATCTTAGGATTATTAGGGGAGCATCCCATGATCATTTCAAGAACGAAGAGGTCCTTCAATTTATGAATTCTTCCATCACAATTTTTTTTTTCCTTTTTCAGAGCTACTAAAATCAGATAAAACTCTACTTCATTGGGGAAGGCTATCAAGGTGGTCAAAATCACCTCTTGATTATGGAATGATATTAATTAGGGTGAGTAGTTTGAAATTATTTTAGTGCGAGCATTCGGTGTCCCGCTTTCTTCTGTTCGAAAAGGCGAGCAAACCTAAAACGAGAAAGAAGGTTGAGGGCTCTTTCTTATAAAAACAATGAATCACGAGTAGTCCTGATAGTCGAACTCTCTAAGTTGTTATCGAAATTACCTCTTCAATTCTTGATATGTAAATGAGAATGCAAGAGGGTATATGATTCTCTGTCATACGGTTGGTTGTGCTTTGTCACGAATTTTTCGTGGATTCAATAAGATCTGAAATTTTACCTCTTTCACATATTCATTTGTTATCGCTTATAATTTCACATATATATTGTTGGAAAGAGGATATGAGCCTTTGTTTTTCTTTATTTCTTCTTCGCTTCTTGAACTGGTGGGTCGCTTTTTCTAAGTAACAAGGAAGAGAATCCACCATGCCACCTTCCATTAATATTATAACACCGATCCCTTAATATGATAAATAGTTATGACTCGAGTCTAAAGATGTAAATATTCAACTAATAAACTTCTCATTTTTTACTTTTGACAAAAAAAAACTTCTCATTTTTGACAAAAAAAATTTCTCATGAAGCCCATGGGAAGGGAGTCGTTTTTTTTTTTTTTGGTAACCCGGGAACCCCCCGCACGGCCGATAGCCGAGGAGATAAACCCGGGATGATGCTAGCGTAGGACCCACCACCACGACGTCACGCTTAAGAATCCCTAACGCCAGCGCTGGGATTCGAACTCCTACCCTTCGTGGGGGGAGGGGAGCCCGAAGCCAGCGCAGCCGCTGAGGGCGGTGGTATGGGAAGGGAGTCGTTCTTCCCTCTCTTCTTCAATATTTGTGAGATCTGTTCTACTTGAGATACTATAACTTTTTCTAGTTAATTAGTGAGATAACAACATAGACAGTCCTGAATTTTAACCCAATGTGCAATTTGATCAATAAACTTTTAATTTGTTGAATATAGTCCCTAAATTTTAGCTTAATGTTCAATGTGGTTAATGAACTTTTGATTTGTTCAATGTGGTTTATGGACTTTTGATACATGTTCAATTTAGTCCCTGAACTATATGAAAATGTTTAATATAGTCCTTCAATTAATTCAAGTTCAGGGATTACATTGAATATTTTCATATAGTTCAAGGACTAAATTGAACATGTATCAAAATTTCAGGGACTATATTAAATAAATCAAAAGTTTAGGGACCACATTAAACATTAAGTTAAAGTTCAAGGACTACATTGAATAAATTAAAAGTTCATGAATCAAATTACACATTATGCTAAAGTTCAGGGACTGTTTGTGTCATTTTTCCTTAATTAGTAGATGTATTAATGCTTAATTACCTATTTCATATCAAAAAGTTATCTTGAAAAGCTCTTTTCTCCATGAAAAGTTACTAATCAATTCATTGATGTTTAGGAACTATTCGGTGTGATTAGGAACTCTTTTACATGAAGAAAAATGAGTATAAAATATATTGGGCAATTTTTGTTAGTTTTTTCATGATGAGCTGATTTTTAAAAAATTCTTAACTTTAGGTCCAATCTCATTTCTGCCTTAAAATATTTTTGTCTTAAAAAAAAACACAACTTTTATTCTAATCCCACATCTACCCATGCGTCCAAAAGTTGCCGCCAGTTTCTTCAAGATTATCAACATCAGGAGGCTGTTGTTGTTTCATATGAATGTGAGGGTGTTAATGAAAATGTAGGCTATGATAATGAACCTTTAATTAACCCCAATGTTGATGATTTTGCATAAACTAGAGGCAATTTTTGGAAGAGTGGGCATATTCGAGACTAGAGTTTAGACCAAAAAAAAAAGGTTCGGGCAGAAGTGGAATTGGACCTAAAGTTGAAGGTTTTTTAGGGAATTAGAACTTTCATGATGGTATTAGAATTATTTTTTAAAATTTAAGATCATTAAAATAAAATTCCAGCCTACCACTTATTATTAAATCATCCACATGGTTAATAATATGAAAAGGTACGTATATTATACCCATCAACGCAACTAGTGATTTTGAAATATATAGGTAATTAGTAGCGTCTCCACATGGTTAGTGACTTTGTCATAATAACTCAAAATTAAGTACTGATGTATGAGCTTTGTTAGCATAAGAGTCTTTGGGTCACAGTGAGAGTAACAATATATTGTGAGTCACAATTCTTGAAGGAATGGACCCCATTGTTATTTTTTTTTTGTGATCCACAACAGACTGATATTCTCACAGTAGATTAAATACGTCACCCAATCATTTCTCTATTAGTAATTCCCACGCATGATAAGTACATTATCATATAGAATAATAAATATAATATATCGGTATAAAACTATGTAGATTTTTACCTAATTTAGTAGCTTTCCATAATAAGTGGTAATTTCGAACTTCTCAGTAGCTTTCCATAGTAAGTGTAATTTCGAACATCTCAGTTGCTGTCCATAATATATGGTACTTAACTATTATATACTTAATTATGTTTTTGTTGATTGATATGAGAATCTAACATTTACAATAAAAGAAAGGTGTTGAGATGAATATGCGCTGATATTATTGCAGAGTCTTATAACCTAATGGCATGGTACGTTGAGTGATGATGGGGCCAACTGATTGTTCAATAGATTAGGCTTTTCTATAAAAATTGGAATTTAACTGTTATCGTCGTTCAAACAAATCAAGTTTGGAGGATCAAATCTGTCAAATTCGATTTATCGTGCGCTTTTTAAAGTAATTAAAGAATGTGTTTGCTTTTACTTATAAATCGTCAAAATATTCTGACTTTTTTTCATCGAAATAAAATATTTCTTTATTTTAAAAAGCTGTGAAAATACTTTATATATTTAAATGGCTTGTGGGTTTATAATTCTAAAAGAATTAAGGTGTTCGACATTAGATAAAGTCAAATCTTACTAGACATTTTGCTTGAGAACTCAAATTGAGACTATACTTGACGAATTAAAAAGTATAGGATCATGCGTAATATGTGTCCTACCTAATATCTTGTTGGAGCTATGGTCATGTTAATGTGGTGGCATTTTCTCTACACAAATGATTCCTTGTAAAATAAAAGTCATTGACTAGAGCGCGTATGATAATCATTCTGTTTATCTGTTTTTCAATCTTTTTATTCTCGGGAATAAGTTTGGAAAAGAAATTCATTTGATAACGCAATTTTATTTTTCTATTTTTGGAATAAATTTTTAGTCCACAAATAAGTTTTGAATAGAAATGAGAAGTAAAAATTTTATACTTTTATATTTCTTGAACAAAACTTTTTTTATCGCTCGCCCTTGCCTCCTACCGCACGTGGCCGCCGCACCCCCCCCCCCTGACGGCCGCTCGCTGACCACCGCGGCCACCCCTCACTGGCCTCTCGTCGACAGTCGCCTCCTACCGGCTGCCACCCGTCGATAAATGGAAAAGAGCATAAGAAGGAGAAATTTTGTGTCGTTATCAAACGAATTTCTGTTCCGAAAAGAGAAGTTTTATGTCGTTATCAAACATGTATTTTTGTTCAAAAACTCGTCTAAGAAATAGGCCAAAAATCTATTTTTAGAACATAATGGTTATCATTCGCGTCCTTATTTTCCTACTTGCCAAGATATATGACTAATCATGTTTTTGTCTTTGCTTGGCAAATGATAATACCTACATAAACATTGCAAAACAAGATGGAAGTACAAAGATTGTGTCCTACTTTCTCACTCGCGAAAATCAGAAAGACATTCACATACAATTCAAGGGAGTTATAAATAATATTCGGAGAAAATTTATACATACGTTTACATGAATTCATGAACAATTGCAAAAAACCCCATGGCATATTCTAATTCGCATAAATTATAAACAATTTGGGGCGAGTACTTATTTATTTATTTATATAAATCAAGCTAAAAGCCAAAAATTCTTGTGACGCTTTGTGGTGATCAAGTACCCACCAAGACTCTTACTCTTCCTCCTCACACCGACGGTCATGCAAGTAGCATTCTCTATGCAGTGCTCCACCACTCCTCCACGGCGGAGCCACCTCCCGGACCACCGCCTCGTCAGCTGCCACATCATCGACCGCTTCCTCTGGCCGATCGCCAATAACGACACCCGCCGCTGCTTGGCCTCTTCCACTATGATGGGACCCTTGTTATTCTTCCCTTCTCTTATGATCACCTCTACTTGCACCTTTAAAAAAAGGAAGAGAAAAAGGATCAATAATGATCTTGAGATTGAAGGCATTCAAGGCCCAAAGCAGACGGATCAAAGAAGGGGGAGCCACCGACCCACTTCATTGACAACAAGCAAGCATATGAAAAGCCCATAGTGACCAAGTGGAGCCTCATCATCCCAATTGGTACCACTATTTCAAAGCCCGTATCGAACCGGCCGGCTCACCCGATTCAACCGAGTATAGGTCTGGTTCTTTCGCCATTTTCAATCTAATGACCGGGTGCTGCTTGGCAGTCTGATTCGGTCTTCGGTACAGTTCGAAAATGTCGGTTCATAAGCGGGACGTGATCGAACCGGCCACAACCGGACCAACACCCAATTGAACGGGTGGTCCTGCCCGAATTCTAAAACACTAATCGGCACATTCTTCTCCTCGCTTATGGATTCTATCCACGTTGAATTCTACAAACTAGCAGCTAGCTACATTGTTCTTAGCACATATGTTGGGAATGACTAGTCAAATGAGACTCACCCCTGGCCTTCTCTTTTGGCACATGCTCTTCATGGAAAGCAAAAGCTCCCGAGCCCTCCCATCAATCTGCCTCCTGCACTCTGCAAACGAAAAACCAATTCAATCACCAAATTCCCTATAAATTTCCAACTTTTCATATATGACGTCAAAAAAAGAAGAAAGCAAACTTAATTATTTCAATTCACCTCCTTCATAGGGCTTGGCTACGCAAAGGAGAACAATAGTGTCGTCTTGGCTTTGGATAGTGTGAGAGAGCGCCCATTCCAGTGCGCCCTTTGCTTCGAGGCTCGAGTCCACGACCACCATCACCCTGTTTCCGCAGCCACCGCCAACGGTGGCACCACCTGAGGGGACACCGCCTTCAACGCCACTGGAGAATCCGGGTTTCGGGGCCTCTTCGTTGTCGCTGCTGCTCCGAAACGAGCTAAGGTTGATCTTGAGTCTGGCACCACCGTCGTAGACGGCACAAGCCGTGCAAAATCTCGGCCATCTGACGCGCACCTTCTTCATGTCTTCTCTCTTGTGGTGTCTTCGTTAATTGCTAAACTAGAATATGATTTGATTTATATAGGCTTCTTACACACACGTCTTATTGGGGGCCATTGTGGTTTTGACTTTGTAGAGTGTAAAATTTCTAGGAAGGTCATTATTAAATAGAGAAAAGTCTTGTCTTGGTGTCGAGTTTGTTTCTTGTGTTTTCCAACGTTGTGTGGGTTTCATCCGTTAATCGTGCTTCCCATGTTCTCCAACAGATGTTGACTAATCTCAATCCAGAACGAGATGATGCCAATTCCCATGAATACACACACATATATACACATATTTTAAATGGTTACACGTTTGGGTTTAATCATATACAAGAGTGCACGAATTGGTACTCACGTTTGGACTCAATTATTGGTACAACAATGCTTTATTAAATGGGCCTAATTCCCCAAAAAACATCTAACTTTAGGTCTAATAATAATTTTGTCTTGAACTTTTTTTTTGTCTAAAAAATTCCTCAACTTTGGGTGTGTATGGTTTGGCTTTTAATGAAAGTTTTTGGGAAAATGCAAAGGCTTAATTCGAAGGGATTTTTCGGAATACAAGTAGTGTTTGGTAAATTGTAATTTAAAAGTACATTGACAAACAACTTTGGTTTAAATGGTGTTTGGAAAAATTGCATCTTTGTTATAAAAAAAAAAAAACTCAAAACCGACGAAGAACTCAATGACTGGCGGGTGGTTGGCGAGGCCACCTTGCTTGAAGTTGCACGACCTCAAGCGAGGCTGGCAAGCAACTAGATCTGGCCTCTTTGGCAACTTGAATCCTTGTCGGTGACGTCGCGTGAGGTAGGGACATTTCCGAAATTATGAAAGTTTAGCTAGGGCAAAGTTAGAAGAAAAAAATGTACTTGCATTCTAGAAATGCTTAAAGCTCAAAGCACCTTCGTATCTGCCTTGGGCCAAAGGGCTTTGGAAGCCTTTGGAAATGCAATTGCATTTTGCCAAAGCTCTCCAAAAAAATTGCCAAACGGTATTTATATTAAAGCCCCCTTGGAACGCAATTCCCAAACAAAACCCTTCACTCCAATCTCAAATTTACTCACACGTCCGAGAATTACCACTAATGCCTTCAAAATTATCAATGTCAAGACCAATTAGAGGTACATTATCAAAACCCACTTCTTCATCAAAACCCTCACCTTCGTGTGCAACAGCAGTCTCTCGATATTGATAATCTTGAAGAAACCAGTGGCAATGTTTGACGCGTGATTAGGTTTGGGGTCTATAGCGAAAGTTAAAGATTTTTTAAGACAAAATAAAGTTCTAGGTGGAATTATGATTGGACCTAATGTGAGGGGTATATTTTAGGGAATTAGCCCTTATTAAATATGACAATTGATGCCTTGATCTGTTAAATTCTCAATCAAACTAAAAATGGATTTAGATACTTCTTCGAATTTGAATCGAACTTACGTTCAAATAATGACTTCTTATGTATATCGCGAATTTCGGTTTGTGTTTATCCATTTTCACCGCATCATATCTATTCCCCGTGATTCTAATGTGTAGGAAAAGTCCAAGATCATAATTAAAGAGGGAGCTCGAATCCAAACCCATTTAACATATCTCGTTGAAGGCACTTTCACTAAAAATATTTATATCATTAAGTTATGTGTCAACTATAATTACTTGCCGCTCCACATCACATAGATTTTTTGAAGTGAGATTTTTTCGACACACAACTCACAAGTCCGTCTTGGCATTATTTCTGCATTTGTACGAGCTCGACACCAATCAAGCCTTGGATCACACAATTCACACCCAGAGTCTAGTGCCTTTCTTTGGTAATTATGAATCAATTAATTACACAAGAGAAGAGGACAAATTAAAAGGACAGCACCAACCTTTTTAGGTCAAACATCGTTTCTGTACACGCAGTAGCGGACACATCACGGGTCGACGGGTCGTACTATCACAGCAGAAATTTCCTCACTCCGTTAATAATCAAATGGGTGAATTTAAGACCATCTAAATGGAAGTAGGTCCGAGTCAACTTCATGGTTGGAGCTCCTGTTCATCTGTCATGCCCCGACGTGTCCAATTCTCTAGTAGTTTTTTGTTTGGATTAGGACACGAAGTCAAAGCATCCCCATTGTCGATGAATTTCTCTACACGATGTCATTTCTTGTTAATTATTGGTGTTCAGATTTTTTATTTTCTGTTCAGGGCTATTTTCGAAACTGTAGGTTTCATCTCACCGTCTAAAATTTTTTATCGTATAAGATAAGATCGGATATGATATAAGTTGGATTAGAAAAAGATGTGATATCTAATATCTTATGCAATATTTGATAAACATATGGATATCCATGCGACACTGAATGTTGACTGTTATGATTTTTAAGCTCTCGAGAAGATTTTAGCTGCTCGAGGCATCACCATCGTGCAAAATCAACCTCCAGTCCAATCGCCACCCCAACCCTCGTGGTCGACGTCAAGACCGAGACCCATCGGACGAAGGTATGGCTCCTCTTGCGAGAAGGTGCGTGAGACATAGAGACACAACAACCGTTTCTCCAAATTTGACCATGGGACTCTGTGGCCGAGATCCGGTTGAGTTGAACTCAGCTATGAAGGAGCTCCAACTTAATGGTCGAGATTGTGGCTAAGATCGAGTCGAGCTTGTCACCATGACAAGTCTCATTAGTGGCAACGAGACAAAGCTGGTTGGGAGGCTGTGGGTGGTGGCCATGGAATGGCAGAGGGGACAGAGAAATGAGTGAGAGACATATTAAATACACCTTTATCTCACTCACACATGGGATTATTTTATCCTACTAATGTTCTTCTTCTATTCAGCCTTATCCTATCTTGAACAACAACCAAGCATAAGGCTTTTATCCAAACTCAGAACATAGCCTTAATTTTTCATGAATATGTAATCGTTATGTTGATTTTGATATATCTTTTCTAGGAATCGAATCCACAATTTTTTGTGTCTATATATGTCTGTTTACCAACGGTGATTTTCTTATTTATTTTCGACACTACTAGGGTTTCGAGAGTATATAATCGTTACTTTTATTTTCGTATATCTTTTTCAAAATACAATATTCCAATCCATTTTCAGTATAATAGTTGATGTTGCATATTAATTATGCTAATTATAAAATAAAATGTTGAATTTGGTATCCGCCTTTATATTTACAAAAATGTCCTTGATCTTCCTATCCTTATTTATTTTATTAAAACCCGTTATTATAAGCAAACTCTTATCACTCACTGAAAAAATCAAAGCCATTAGAGAAATGCATGCCACTAACTCATTAATTCAAAATGTGATAATCACCTGCAATTACTTCGCTCCGGTTACGTAGTTTCGGGTGAGGACCCATTACCACCGACTTTTTGCTCCATGATGTCTTTTTGTAAACTTTAAAGTAACGATTTTACCGTGTGAAAATGTTTCATGATTCGCTCATCGTTCAATTTGACTATTCACATTCATATACGCATTTTTCCGAACGTCAATATCGATCACAAAAAGCGAAACCAACCATTCACACGTTAACACGAGCTTGAGAACTAGTATAATTTTTAGTAGATATACAAGTAATATTATTCTCTATCAGATTCCTAGGTGACTTTGCATGCATTTCCTCCACCGTTGCTTCATTATCTTCTTTTGACTTGGATGCGAGCCATTTTTGTTCGACCACGTAGTCGTTTGCTAACCACTCTCCTCCTCTCTTCCTCTTCTCAACCATGTGTAATCATGGAGTTGAGACTGAGAAAATCACAGGAGACATTCGAGGACACTCGTCGTTTTCCTATTAGCTGAGGACAAAGGAGTCGACCACATAGAAAAAGGTTCTAGATGTCCCGTTGGAATTCAATTCCGTGAATGATGATGGGATTGACAAGATCGGAAATGTCGGTAGAAATTCTTCTTCGTAGTCATCATCAGGGAGAATAACAAAAAAAAAAATCCTAAACCTATTATGATTACACTAATTCAATCCTTAATCTTTTTTAAACTTTTTACATCCGTACTAATTCAGTCATTTTGGCAAATTTTGGCCAGAAATCACTGACATGGACGCTAGCTGTCTTATGTGGCCCAATTGATGCTGACGCAAATAATTTTTAATAATATTTTAATTTTTTTCTATTTTTTTCTTTTCTTTCTCTTTGTTTGTTTCTTCCCTTCTTCCTCTAGTCGGTCGCTGGACCTTTGGCGATCGGCTAGAGGCGAAGGCGAACCTCGCCAGATCTGATGAAGTTGAGCCTCACTAGCAGCCTCGCTAGTGGTCGGCTATATTGACCTCATCGGCTTTTGCCTCTAGTAGGTCGGAAAGGTCTAGAGATTAAAAATTGTCCACGTCAGCGTCGAATCGACTGGATTAAAAATTATAAGAATATTATTAAAAATTTAAAAAATGAAATTTGAAAAATTATTAAAATATTATTAAAATTGTTCAAGTTAGCGTCGGCCGCGCCACAAAAATTAAAAAAGGACTGCCAGAGTTCATATCAGTGATTTCCGGCTAAAATTGGCTAGATCGACTAAATTGATACAAATGCAAAAAGGTTTAGACTCAATTGGCAAAGAAAAAAAAGATTTATGACTCAATTGACACAATCGCGATAAATTTAGAACTTTTATGGTATTTTTCCCGTCATCATTCTCTATTGGAATGATTCGACCACTAGGATCAATTTGATCTTGAATAAGGTATTGAATCATGTTAATTCACTACTACTGCTAATGAAGTGCAAGTAGATTGACAATGGTATTACATATACTTCTCCATCTACTTCATGGCTGTATTTCCATAGATAATTTTGCACAAATGTACATCGGTATACACATACGTAATGCGTGCTATACATACACAGAGGACCACACTGAGGAATACTGAATGCTGCAAAAAAGCAGATCAAAGTTTATTTCGCTAGAGCAAGGGTGGGCGAGAGGCCAAGATTATGCCATGCAATCCATACATTCAGACGTTAAAATTGCATATTATAGATAAAGCAGCAGAAGTTCCCCTTTATGTTAAAGCCTTAATTTAGCTGGCGGAGCATCCATGCAGGGAGGAGTGTACCGGCCCGCGGATGAGTCAGGTTTTCTCCGTAGTAGTGCCCGTCGTGTCTCGCTTGATAAGAGCCGCTGCATAATTTCCATATATATCTTATAGTTTAGAACAGGCACTAGAAGCCAGCTAATCTGTCAAACTACTTGCAGCACATTGTTTTCAAAACTTAGATAATTGAAACTTGAGGCATACCCCAATTGTCAACTGCACAAGATGCATTCATTTGACTAACTGCATAAGCTGCTTTCAATCTAAAATGCTACTAGACTCAGGACAAAAACAAATAAGTACTTAGAGAAGTGCTATACTGTTGTGTAGGAAACATAGTACGTTTTAGAGATGATCTCATTGGTTTCAACATCGCATAACAAGTGTCAGTGTGCAGACATGAGTGTATCCTAGCGTATGTGCCTGCGTATGTGTCTGCGTGAGTGAGCGCATATATGAGAGAGAGAGAGAGAGAGAGAGAGAGAGAGAGACTTGATGTCGAGAGAAGGCAAGTTGTGAGGTAGAATAACAGGTGAGTCAAGGGCATGGTCTTGCTGCTCCCACGGAGCTTGCTGGGCTAGTGCCTTCTCCTTCTCCTTTACCTGTTTTCAACAAAAAAAATTTCAAAAATACATAAGCAGGTGCTTCTTTTCTAATCATATATCTCCAAAAAGGATGATTTTACTTAAAACTAACGAAACAACAAGAAGCTCTTCAGGCAAATTCATTTCAGATCAGGAGCTCCAGAAACAGCTCTCTGGATAGGCAACTCTTTGAAGCAATGCTAAGGCTTCACAAGATTTTGAGAAATATTGCTATATCAATACAATTGCCAAAAAAGAATAGAATCATAAACCGTACACAACCATTTGTCGAGTCATAGCTAGCATATATATGTCTTTGGCCAAGAAACGGTGAAATTTGGTCATCATATTTTGGAAAGCTAGTTTTTGGACAGGTTATAGAGAGCAAGCTCAATGACTACTGAATTCTTTTAATTTGTTATATGTCCAGATATATTTGAGGGAAAATGTGAGTCCATTGAAGAAAATTAATTACTCACTTTCTTTGTAAGCAGGTTGTTTTGCTCCTGCAATGCCCTATCCTGTGTGAAGACAAAAACAGTTAGCAAATCTTCAACCACTATAATGATATCTGGAAAAACGGTTGCAGGATTTTAATTTGGTGTTGACTTGACGAACATATTCAATCACGGCACAACAATAAGGCAATGGTCAATATCTCTCACCCATCTAAAATTCTATCTACCCCATTTATATGGGGTATGATATCATAGTTCAACTATTTGTGCTTGAACCACCCTAAAACTATATGTGTCTATCTACATTAAAAAGACAGCCATTCATGTTCCGAGTATCATGTGAAAATTCTAGTACTGTACCAACAAATTTAATAGGCATACCTTTTTCTGAAGCACCGAGATTGATTCGTGCATGAGCTGATTCTGTCCAGTAAAGTTTAGAGTGAAATCAGCCATATGCAGGACCTGATAATAGTAACATTGGCTTTTGAAATGAATCTTGCTTGTATGTACCTTTCTCGATCTTATGTGTTTGAGAGCAGAATCAAGTTGCTGCTCCAAATTTTGGAGGTCTTTGAGACTCATAGAATCAAGATCTTCTCCCATGAAATGCCTGAAACAATCAAGCAAATATCAAGATTTGTTAGCTTCGATGAATTTTCAGTTCTTGCAGTAAATTCGTTTTAGTATATATATACCTATGATTTCTCTGTAAAACTTCAAGCCTGGCCTTGAGCTTAGCATGCTCCAAAGTCCAGCTACCCTGAAACACATGATCTAGGATTTAGTGCTAACTGATTTGTCATAGCAAAAGAAGCTCATTTTATTTATATATGAAACTATAATATGATGCCATTCTCGCTTCTATGCTTCTTGCATATCTAATTTATCAACAGATTGAAAGACTTGCACGTCCAGTGATTTGCACAGATTCGGGTTCTGCATATTGCAGCTGGATTGGTTAGCACTAAAAGTTGAGCCGCTATGATTTGTGGAGAACGTCGTCCATGCAATGCAAACCGGAACTCCATTGGTCGATTAGCTTTAAAATGAACAGAAGAGGAGGCTAATTCTTTAGGTCTATCAAAAGTTTTTGGTTCGGTGTCTTACAGTCGATTCCGTCTCACTTGCAAGAACTTGGTGCTCCGCGTAGGAGTATCTTTCATAGCGTTCGAGAATTCTCTCCATGCTGCCAAAGAAAAGAAGCAGAACCGAAACATGTTGTACGAAGTTAGTCCGTTTGACAAAAGATGAAGCTTCTTTAAGACAGAAAACTGAAATAAAACTTCCAATTAAGATCATAACCACATAAGCAGATAAAACTATGGTATTACAGTTCCCTCACTAGTCAATATATATGGAGAGTGCTTATGAAATCCATTTTGGATTAATCTACATTTCTTGCTCTGGCAAAAGGAAAAGAAATCTATAGTTTGCCAGAACATGGTAGAAGTTTTCTAGACACAGAAAGAGGCACAAACCATGTCATCAGATAAATCAAGAGAAGTAAGAAGAAGAATGCATAGTCGGCTATAGCTATATGCTTTGCATCACGACAATGAGATTATTATCAATCAGACATGTACTTAACCTTACAAACTAATTAATTATCGTTGACAAGCACTTGGAAGCGGGCTCGAGAATTGATTAAAAGCCGTTAATCGACAGGATTATGAACGAGCATAACGAGCAAGTTTAGTTATAAGCCACGCTCGTAGCTAGAGTTTCTCTTTACTACCAAATGAAGATCATCGAAAGTGGCTACATGAGGGCATTGAACATGACACAGTACACAATACGGACTATAGTGATCGGCATCAGAGGCCATCGTGGGAACGGACCAGAAAAAGAAATTTTTCATGCTTCCTTTTCTCTCTTGTACATATTATTATTTACCCAAAGTCAACATAGAAAAGTCAGCTGCTGTCCACTAGGTCAAATGGTTATTTCACTCTCGTATCGTCATCAACCTTTTGTGTCATCACGTTCGGCAAGTGACATTGTCGCAGTTCCGAGTGAATATATGTTCCAAAGAAATTGGAGCTTCCTTACATCATCCTTCCCTAGATTTGAGACTCACAAATTAAGGATTTGAGCTGCTTTTCATGTTTTTTAATCCCTCCCGGGCCTATCTTCTTCACTACTAATCCTCGTTTTCATTAGAGAATCAGTCGTTGAAACCTGTCAATGAAGTTTTTTAGCACAATTCCTAACCTGCTGCCCGAAAGCAAGTTAATTGCAGTTATTCTAAGCATAAACTACAAAACCTGTGCTTTCTAGCTAGGACTCAACTGAGTCAGACCCAATTCATGCAATGAGCCTTAACGTTCAAGATTGGACCCAAGTCCAACCAACCCCACAAGAGTTATATTGTATCTTCAGTGTCTTCTCTGTACAAACCCTAATTAGAGTTCTAACTACAGTTGTTACATAGAGGATTTGCCGACACTTCTTAATCCCTTTCCAGCCCTCGATCATGAATGCATTATCAAAAAAATGATTGATTGAGATCAAAGATGAAGCCACGGTGTGAGAAAAGCATATTGGACTTACTTGGCATCCAAAAAAGAAAGTTGATTCATCACAGTAAATTGCGATGGATGGGAAGCAAAAGCATATGATCAATTTTCGCTTGAAAGGGAGATTCTTTTGTCTTTTCATTGCAAGAACCAAATTAATCACAACTATTTGCCAGGATGCTCAATGTTTCTCCAGTTCATCTCCAGGACAACGGTGTGGCCCCAGAGCTATAGACACGAGTGGTGGAAGAAGACAAATGTACCAAGACATGTCTCCTCAACCAAGAAAACACATCATATCATGATTAGGCTTCTGGGTTATCCAGAAAGGAATTTTAACTGCGCAATTAGCCCTCCCTACGAAAAGATCCAGCTGGTGATTAGGCAAAAGTAGTTCGCATTTTCCCACAATATCTTCTTTCTCCCAATTTTGATGAGGAAAGCTGATCTCCAAAGTCAAAAAGATAAAAAGATAGTAGAGTCCAAGGAGTTAAACAGTAGATGGAACTTAAAAAATCACATGTTGGATAGGGAACAGATCCACCATCACTTGCAAACTTACCTAGTCTTGTGTGCACACTGCACACATATCACTGTGTATATAGTCACCAGCCGTCCTTTCGAACGTTTAAATTACAGACACGAATGCAGTTAAGATTGTAGAGTGTCCTAACATTAGTTAACAGTAAGCATGCTTTCTTCGTACCCAGTTCTGATTATATATAACATCTTCGTTGTCAAAGACAAAGATCGTTGAGATGAATTAATTAGTTTTAAAGTGAGCCCTTTTATAATTCACATCAAGAGCTCTTTCACCACATTACTATCCTGAGTTTATATTCGTGTTGCACCTTTGCACTTTATGAGGTGGGGATCGAGCCACGGAGGTGAGAAAGCTTAAGGCTATATCAATCGCACATTCAAAGTATCGTACCTTCGATGTAGGATCCATCGTATGCTTCATTTTTATCAGGCGTACGCATAAACGAAAAATTTTCCGGAGTTGGAAAGATACTACAATCACGACACCGTTAATTGCGCAAACGTGAACACGCACAAAGCAAGAAACCGCAACCCAGCAAACCCATCAAGAATCGAAGTAGAACCCACCAATCAACCCGCGAAGCGAGGCGATATTCAAAAGAAATCAAGAAGCATCGAGAACGGCGGGCAGCGGAGACGGCGGAGAAAGAACGAACGAACGAACGGTGATCAAGCGAACGTTACCAGGAATCGGTGGAGTACTCGAAGAGCTTGCCCTTGGTGGAGAAGACGATGAGGGCGACCTCGGCGTCGCAGAGGACAGAGATCTCGTGGGCCTTCTTGAGCAGGCCCGCCCTCCTCTTGGAGAAGGTGACCTGCCGGTTGATCTTGTTCTCTATCCTCTTCAGCTGAAGCCTGCCCCTCCCCATCCTATCTCTCTCCAATTCACAACCCCCAACACACACCAAGAACTGCCAAGAATCAAAAGAAGGAGAGCGAGAGACAGATCCGTCTGGTCTCTGCTGCGTGTTCTTTAAGAAGAAGCCTGCAGCAATCAATCCCAGGGACCCAAAGAGACAGGCAGACAGAGAGAGGGAGGAAAGGAGAGAAGAAAGAAAGTGTGGTCTCTGGTGAGGTGTGGGTGGTGGGTTCTGAGTGCTATATGTGGAAATGGCAAAGTCTTAGGAAAACCAGGGTGGTTTCGTCAATAACGCTGTCGACACCTGATTGGCTCCGCACCGCTCGTGGAACAGTCTCAGCGGTATTAAACTTACTCTCTCTGCATGCATTCCATTCGTGCTCCTCCTCTCTTCGGGTTTTTCACCTGTACGTCTAGTTTGTCTTTCCCTCTTTCTCCTTTTTTCTGTCTCTTTTCTTGTCCTTGCGAAACCTAATAATAACATTCATAATCATCTTATATTATATTCGGGACTGAGCAAATCCTTAAAATGCTTCATCTTAGTCATTGTTCGGATCTCGAGATCATCGGGATATGGTATTCTCTTTTTCGAAAGACAATGATATAGGAAGAATTATGAGATGTGAGGCGTGCGGGCTCCGATATGTTAAAATAAGATGTGCATACATGAAACCCGCCACCGCTTGAAGACATATACATCTCGTCTTTCTATCTACTCTTTTTCTTTCTCTTTCCTTGTCCTTGCGAACCTAATAATAACATCCGTAATCATCTTATATTATAATCATATAAAGCTAACAAGCATATATATATATATATATGTTGAAAAAAAACAAGCATATATATATCATATTTGTATTACCCATATACTTTATTAGTGATTAGCATACAAATTTGAGTTCGGTTTCCGCATACGTTGCGTACAAATTCGATATGTCACATCGGCAGACCGCAACCCATAAAACTCTAAAGTGGACGTGGAAATGCATGAGATTTGGAAATTTTGATTCATGAGATGAGGGTTTAACATGGGTGTGGAAAAGTTTTAGCCTATTTTTGATTGGAGCAGGTGATATTTCAATCACTGGGCCAAAATGATTCCACCATTGTAAGAACTAATAAGGCAATTGTTCTGTGGAGAAGTTATATATATCTATGTGTGTGTGTGTTGTGGAAGAAATACTTAGCCATTTTTTATTGAGATTTGCAAACATTGCTACAGATGTTTAAAATTCAAAGACGATTACATGAGGTACAACCTCATTTTCAGTTCATAAACTTGCAATTTGAGGAAAATGACATTTGCTTAAATTTGTTCGAATGATGATTATAATGATGATTATTATAATTGTGATAAACATTCGAAAATATCATTCGAAATTTCATAGACATTAGAATAACCGTAACGTGCGAGTGAAAGCTTGGATTAGTGGCCATTGACGGATCTATAATTTTTTTCTCGGCGAGGAGTAATACGATCTATAATTGCCAAAAAAAAATTAAGTACATTTGTTTTAGATATAGAAGCAGTGTTCTTACGCTTGAAAAAGTCCAATAATAATCGATGTTCGTTTATTTTATAACATCTTTGTTCTAATAGCGTTTATTAACTTTTATCGATTTGTCAATCCAATTTCCCCTTAACACGACTTCTCTATATATACTTTTTCTTTTGTATCAGAGAAATTCAACGGAGGCAAAACTCAGAAAAGCAAGTGGGGACGGAAAAACATAAATACTCCGTGTTGTCGACCTGAGAGCCGAATTGTTCGTACCTGCCGATGTGACATATCGAATCTGGTTAGGAGATACAAGTCTCACACCTGGTTAGGAGATACAAAACCAAATGGTGGTACATTTTCAAATTAACTGATAAAGTTTCCGAAAAATCCGTCTTAAATTGGTTAAACCTTCGAAACACCCAAACCATACCCAAATCACCAGATGATTACAAAAATCCTGTACTCCTCCAACAAAAATCATTTGCTGCAGCTCAACTAGCAGTCGTACAATCACTCAAACAATATATTGAGATCATGGAAAAAATCATATTAGAAATCAAGTTGAAAATCACCTCCAGCAAATCCCATCACAGTGGCAACACTAATGAAGATGATTGCTATGAATCAACTTTATATATATATATATCTAAGGATTGTCTTGTTAAGATATTTGATTTTCAAAAGAGTATCATGCAAAATGAATTCTTGACATAGCTTTATATCTTAGGTGAATGTATATGTACTACAACCACGTTGGACCATTTAGAATGTTTGTCTCCATATGATCATATGGGATTCCATTGGATTTGAGGTCCATATCGATGTTAATATACAATGCACGCTTGCTTGATGGGAAAATTATCCAAAAAGTTTTAAACCTATTACACTTTTGTCAATTCAATCTTCAACCTTTTAACTTTGCCAATTAAGTATTAAATCTTTTTACTTCTTGCATATTGAGTCTATTCGACTAATTTTGGCTGGAAATTGCTGACGTAGACACTGGCCGATCTTTGTGGACAATTTTTAGTAGTACTTTAACATTTTCTAATTTTTTATATTTTGTTTTTATTTTCTATTCTTTTTTGTTTCCCCCTCTAGCCAGTTGCCGGGCCTCAACAACTGGCTAGAGCGAGGTTCGGTGAGCCTCGGCAAGGTCAGCATCGCCATGGCTGGGCGAGGTGGGCGAGGCTCGACCTCGCCCAACCATGGCAAGGTCGAGCCTTGCCTTGGACTGGCGAGGCTTGCCCAAGGCCAGCGAGGTCCACCTCACTGGCCCTCGCCTCTAACTAGTTGCTGAGGCTCGACGACTGGTTGTAGGAGGAAGAAGAGGAGGAAAAACAGAAAAAAATAAAAAAATAAAAATAAAAAAGGATAGAAAAAAATAAAAAATAAAAAAATCCGAAAAAGATTATTAAAAGTTGTTCATGTCAGCTTCATGTGGGCCAGCTGGCGTCAACGTCAGCAATTTTTGACCAAAATTAGTTGGACGGACTTAATTGGTAAGAAGTGAAAAGGTTTATGATTGAAGTGGCAAAATTGAAAGGCTTAGGACTGAATTGGCAAAAATGCAATAGATTTAAGACTTTTGGACAATTTTCCCTTCGCCTGATAAATCTTCGTATATAGCATGGACCCATTGTGGCTGATTCTATGGATATACCACCGAACTTATGTTATGAAGTAATAAATATGGCAAATTCTATGTCAATAAGACAGTACTACGAGATTATGAATATAGATGCTAAGGTCTTAGCTAGGACCACCTAAGTTTACGAATTTGCTGCATTCAAAGTAGAAAAACTTATGAGTGCCACGCAGGTACCAAGCCAAACTATTTTCCTGTCACCATTAGCTGGATTTTTTACATTTTTAGGTAAAGTTTAGCTGTAGTGCACTTTTGTGAATTTGAGTGATCCAAAATCCAGCTTCACGTCGTACATGGAAGTGATGTAGGAGATCAACATTATTATTTGATTCGGAATTTTCGTCCCCGTCTAGAATTGTAATCGCACACGCTTCGAATATCAAATAAAAGTTGAATTTCGCGAGTCCGCCGCTCCGTGGACGCGTTTACAGATCCTAACATCGAAACAGTCACACCGGCAAGGAAAACGCGGCCTACGTGACTCTCGAAGAGGGCCATGAGACCTCTGAAAGAGAGACACCGATAGGGGGGTGGGATAATCTTCTTCACACGAGGTGCGGGCCCCACGGCCCGGCCCGGCCCGGCAACAGTATGATGTTCACAAGCATTTTATGCTTTGCTTTGTTGTCGACAATGACAGTTTGATTGGCCAAATTTGGATAAGAGGTGAGAGGAGAAAGGAAATGCCTTTGGAACAAACTTGGGGGGGAATGGTCCAACACCAAGCTCCACATGACCATCACTATAGCATTCGAGCTGCTCACCACCTTTCCTTTGTTGAGAAAAGAATATGTTGACGTCGCGTCGTGTTCGTCGCTTAAAGCCGACCAGATACAGAGCGCTCCGCGAATTCAGTACACGCCAGTTCGACGCATCTGAACGTTTCTTGTTTTTCGGGTGGGTTCGCATGATCTAAAGATTCAGTGGGCATTGCTAGAGACACATACGACACAGATTGTTCGAGCATCCAATCGATCGGGACAATGGAAAGAAAGATGGTGCGGTGAGCTAACTCATGCACTTCGAACGTATCAAGCTAAGCATTCTTTCGCTTTTCGATCGAGTTTGGGGGAAACTTTGATGAAGAGATAAAGGGAAAACCGAGAATCGTAAAGGTGGTAATTGCGTGTCTTTTCATCTCACTAGCTGTTAGAATTCTTAAAATCATGTTTGAATTATATAACATTATACAGTGAAGTTACCTTTGACGTGCCAACAAATTAAAACTAACGAGGAAATTGATGATTGTACTTATCAATTGAGCAGCATTCCGGCTTTCGAATTTGAATAACCTTCGCGCGTTGCTTGCCGCCGTCCACCGAGCCGTGGAGGTCGAGATCGAGGTCGAGGTCGTCGACAACCATTGAAGACCTTAGATATGAGGTCGCCTATGTCGTTGACGACTTCTATGACCTCAAATCTAAGGTGAGAGAGAAAGGGAAATGTGCTATGATTTTGTGAAGAACCCTAAACCCCTATTCGGGTACTTCTCTCAATCTGGATTGAAACCCTAATATTTGGCTTAAAAACGAGGTTGTTTTGGTTTCATGTGGGAGATGACATTGTTTTGGTTTAAGGGATTCACTTTTACAAACATGGTACTAGCCTTATCATGTTAAGTGTCTGTCTGCCACCTCAGATATCACGTATGCACTTTTCACGAAAATCTTAAATGTGGCCAAAATTGTCTCTAAGGTAAAAGTTGGTGTCTTTTTATGTAACATTTAAAAGTTTAAGCCAAAGTTATATCCCAAGTGAAAATTTGGGTCTTTGTATGCGACACTTGAGAGTTAAAAGTTGAGGCCAAAATTGTCCCAGACAAAAGTTGGTGCTTTTTTTTTTGGTTGCTGAGCAAAAGCCCGTGATTTTGCTATCAATGAAAACTCTTTTCACTCGCTGTTGGAAGGTCGTGTAAAGATGAGCTATAACAAATAGTAAGCATGTGACTGATCATATAATCGTGGCTACACAGATGCTTCCCCATCGATTTACGCAGCGACAAGAGGCCGAGCAATCTCCCGCAAGATCATTGGTGGCAAATTTTTTTTCACTTCAATAAAGGCATCCGTGTCGACAATCCAATAACCGTGGCTAACAGTACTTTCTAGGTGATAATGGCTAATTGATCGACCAAACGTCATGCACTAAAAAGGAAAATCTGAGGGAATCATTCAACACAAGCAACAGATAAAGGGACTAAAGCGAGTGCTTCGTTCGACGATACAGTGTAACAGTAAGCTATGCAGCTCAATATTGCAGGTTTCGAAAAGAATTATAAAGCTTAACTTGCTTCTATTACAAGCCAATACAAACATTATCAAAGTTCTGATCATGAGAGAGGAAGTGTGGCCTTCCTCTTTTTATGTCATTACAGCTCCAAAATATATGTACTTATTGTCTTGCGAATCACAATTAAAAAGTACACAGGCACAATTTCACCAGATTGATTCACCCTCCAAGTTTATGCAGTAAGTTCAAAGCATCGATCCTGGAATGAATCCGGCGACATTTTGGCTTGAAACCGAAGCATTCATCTCGTCCAGACATGCCGGATCGTATCTGGAAAATAAGAACATAAAGGAAAACAAAAGACAGTCTAATCGGTTATTCATTGCGTCACGATGCACTAAGATGTCTGTAAATGTAGTCTTTAGTGAGTAAGTGGAACGAGGATGTGAGTAGTCACCCAATTTGCAACGACAGGTTGCCGTCCATTGGGTGGAAGAACCCTTCTGATTGAGGAGGAAAGAGGCTACATGGAATGCCGCCGGCGCCGCCGCCGTGACTTGCGACTTCCCAGGCAAGTTGAAAGGGAATTTGCGGACCCGCTTCTTCCAGCTAATTGAAGTACAGAATTTTCCAAATCCAATCAATAAGTGTATTTGAAGCAGTGGTATCACAATAAGGTAGTCACTTCTTGTTTTTGCCACTAATCCGCGATGCTTACTGCATCCTTTAGTCTGCTTGACATCAAGGTCTCTAAACTAATGCGAGGTCTATGCCATAAGCTCAGGGCTAGGAAGCAGATACAATGACAATTATACAATCACAACTATAAGTTTTCAGGAAAAGCAACTTCTAAGAGTCTTATGCTATCTACCAATGCTATAAGCTTGGCAACCAAATGAATGGCAATGAAATAGTTCTACTTAAGATTTCATTGTTCGAAGAGAATGTGACCATTACACTGACAGCATGCTATCTTGTTACATCATGAAGTAAGTTTGCGTGATTTGGCCCAAAAATTGGACTTGAAAACAATGCAACAATCTTCCATTGGTAATTTTCTTCGAAGAACGGTGTGGCAACTTTAGAAAGAGTATGCATGCAGCACATGTGAGAGGAAAATGCAGCGCAAGAAACAAGATTTAGGGTGCTAAGATAGCAATAACTTGCGACAGAAGCTATCGTTTGTATGTTCAGCCGAGTCCTTCCTAGTTTTTTAATCCATCATTTGATTGCGGGAAACCATTTTTCATTGCAATAATGGGTAACTTTGCATTTGCAGCCACTAAGGACAGTGTGTTCACCCCAGTTCCAAGTACTCATAATAATCCGAGCTCAATGAGGACAGTGTATCAAATTAATCTGTTTATGTCCGTGTGTTGATCTTATGAAATCGAAATATTAAACAGTACTCAGTATAAAGCATGGGTTTCACGTTAATACTTGGTCAAAATGTACAACAGGAAAGATTCAAGAAAAAAAATACGGTAACATGAATAGTAGGAGAGAAGTGTAATTAGGTGCGATACCTTCCTCCTAAGGACTTTGTTGGTCTCTAGTAGCATTTGCTCCTAAGTAGACAGAAACCATCCAACATTGAGCAAGGAGAAGAAGAAAGAACGGAAGTGAAAACGATTTCCAATCTAAAATGACCGATAATTAACTAATTCATACCCTGTTTTGGAGATTGGCGACTTGATCGAGCATGCACTGGGTCTGCAAGATTAAGTAAGAGCAATTTAATCATCCAAACAATAGAGGGTTACATTACAAAAATATGGTCATGACTCATGAGAGCTTCCTTTCTGATTACCGTCTCTCTTTTCACAAGTTACCTTTGTTGACCGAATGTGCTTCAATGAACTCTCCAGTTGACGCTCCAGATGCTCCAGCTCTTTACTGTCTAGTGAACCCAAATCTTCCCCAAGCAGGTTCCTGTGGCTCACTCATATTTAAACTCCGGTAAGTAATGCAAAGAGAATTTTGAGCACAGTAATTAGGGCATTGTTTTGTCACGAATGGAGTAGGAGTTGGTGGACGTAGAAACTTAGATCAAAAGGGCAAGACAAAAAATTCTGTGAATCTTATTATGGGTTTCTGATGGCTTGAAATTATGGAAACCAAACACAAAGTGACTCAAACTATTGCTCAACTGCAATAGCAAATTGAAACTTATGGAGTTTTCATTAGCAGATTCACAATAATAAATGCTGTAGTTACTTTGTCTTGGGATTTTCATGTACTTAATCTCGAAAAATTACCAAATCATGCCGTGAACATAAAAACTCAAACGGCAGATAGAGAGATTCAAACCTTTGAGATTGCTGGAGGACCTCAACTCTTGCTTTTAGCCTCAAGCATTCCTGGTAGCTGCTCTGCTTGACACGATAATTAGGATTAAAGCTTCATATACTAAACAAGTAATCACAAAAACCTGATAAACACTTGCCCAGGTAAGTAAATAAGCACCATACTTTGGATAAATTTTGCTCTGATCTTTTTATAGTGGCCAGGTGGTATACTCTAAGCCAGTTTTTGCGCACCAAATTATGTTCACTTTCTTATTGTCATCATTTTCATAAACCTAGTATATAGAAATGAAGTTTATGAAACAAGATCTCTCTCTCTCTCTCTCTCTCTCTCTCTCTCTCTCTCTCTCTCTCTCTCATGCACGACATACACACATACACATGTGGGCGGGAACGTGCACAAAGAACAAATAAAGAAAAGACCAAAGGTACCTGTGTCTCATCGATTGAGCGGTTTGTGTCGAGCTGTGCACCATAGCTGCATTTTTGGTACCTTTCAAGTGTTTTCGTCATGCTAGGGCAAGAAGGTGAATGGGAACAGGAAATTAACATAAGAATAAGCAAAAGATCACTAGATTATTACAAGAGATGAAGAATATCGGGAGATGATACAAAACCATATTATGCTTCAAAAGATGCCTGGTTGAAATCCAAAAGCACATAGAAAGGCACACGAATCTATGTAAACCGATACTTAGGACGTTTCACGCCTGCACTTCTCGTCGCTCCCGGAGAGAAAAGAGATTACACATACTCTTAGCAATAATCGTTATTGATGATTATGTTGGACCTACCTTTGTTACCAAAGGCCAATCGAATAGAAAGGAAGTATGATAATTATAAGACAATCAATCATTTTTATTCCCCTTAATCAATTAACGTGAAAATTAAGCTCAACCCCATCAGAATGTTGTCAAATGATGGCGAAATAACTCGAAGTGAAAGACATCATCGTGAGGAATAGCATTGGACAATCCCAAAGAGCTATTACTGGGGATGGGAGGGATAGATAATGTAATCCAATGGCAGAGAACGATCTTTCTAATGAATCTCGCGTGCCCTATGTATATAGTAATAGATCCTTTTTCTATATACAATAATTCTTATAAGCGGGTTTAAGGATTGGCTCGGCTTGTTTTCGTTTTCATTTGGTGGATAAGATATATTTTGTATGTTGTTTTTTAACGGCTTAAATTTTTAGAACAAAAGATTGCATATACGATTCTACAACAGACCGTCGAATAATGAGTTTCCGGTTCCACGATTCTTTCCCCTAGACTTTCAAATTCGCATTCTTAATTAAAGAGTCTTCATCCTACCGGCCTTCACATCATTAACGAATTAGAATGAAATCGGTTCTCTGACAGTTTTTGTTTTTAGAATAGATGGTTGCGCATTCAAATTCCAACACTTACATAATAAATAAGTGAGTTGATTATGAATAAACAAGCTCATATTAAATGTCTACAAATGCTCCGATCAGCCTCATTAGTGAATCCCAATTTTCGAGTCACATTTGGTAACAACCAAAGAAAGGGCAAATATTAACTTCAGGATGGTTGATAAAAAATCAAGAAAAGAGTGTGTGAATCTTGACTGCAACCCACGCACAGGCGCATCCTAAACAATATATGATAGAAAAGGCCTTAAATCAGGATGGGTCCTCGGTAAAAATCTGAACATGTTTCATTAATTCGTCCTTAATGTTTTAGTACAGTACAAATATAGGGAAACAAAGAAATATCCAGGACGCTGGTAAACACTGTTCCATCTGGGTCAAACAACGTTAATATTGACAGAGCAACCAGAAAACAAGCAAACCCATGCACACTGAAGTTTCAAAAGCAGGACCAGGCCAATGTATTTGATACATAATCACTGCTTGAAGAAAACAGCAATTTGAAATGAATTTGTAGACAGCTTGAGTTGATTTTTTCCGGTTGTTTTAGCTTGTAAATTGACTGAAGAAGCCGCAAATTTTCTCCATGCGTGCTTCTAGGGTTTTTCATTGGACATCAGACAAAAGAAAGAGCAGTCCTTTCTCTGTCATGGCAAACATGTTGAATCTAACAGCCCAGATGAAGTTGTTTAGTGAGAGGAAAAGGTATATGAAGTATTTCAGATATATTTACTGGAGAAACATCGATCTTGAAATGAATCTTGATGGCGAATGCTAGCAGAATTTACAGGGAGAATATATCATACACGATGCTACTGAAAGAAACCCTTTGAGAGGCTGATCATTAATCCTGAAAACCCTTTTCATGAGCACAAATGAGATAAACAAAAATTATAGGAAGAAAAAGCCAAAAAAAAAAAGAAAAAAAGAAGAGATGAGATCTGAAACTTATCTTTAGTAGACCGAAGAAGAAACCTTTTTTTTTTTTTTGGAGATCTTTGCCTTGTTTAAATTTCTTATTATGAGAAGATCAAAGACACCAAAAGCCCAAAAAGCATAACAAAAGTTTGGCAGGTGCTCAGAGTTTAAAAAGACAAGATCCAACACCAAGAGATCTAGCAACCCTCCTGATAAATGGGAAAAACCCACCAGCAGAAAGCTAGAAAAAAACATATTTTCTTGATTATGAGGTGTTCACGCTGAAGAGCGTTAGAAGTGCAAAAAAGAAAGCGACGATCACATTCAGAGAATCCGAGAAAGAGATCAGAGCTAGAGCAGGGAGACAAGAATACCTAGAGCTGCTACAGAACTCAAAGAGCTTGCCCCGGCTGGAGAAGATGATGAGAGCCACCTCGGCATCACAGAGGACCGAGAGCTCATACGCCTTCTTGAGGAGCCCATTCCTTCTCTTGGCGAAGGTCACTTGCCTGTTGATTTTGTTCTCTATCCTCTTCACCTCAACCCTCCCTCTTCCCATTTTGAACACACTCACACACTAATAAACACACACACACACACACACAGTCTCTCTCTCTCTCTCTTACCAGTCTTGGTTAAGAGATGAGAAAACTTTATGAAAGGAGCATGAGAGCAGAGAGTACCCAAATAGAGATAAGAAAGGAAATGTGCAATGTAAGGCGGAAATGGAAACCCTGGGAAGCTTTGCTTTTATACCCATGTCTCTTGATGTATGTTTAAGTATGTATGTTTTCATCATTATATACATGTGCCATGTACTACACAACAAAACCACTAGCTAGTATCATCAGTATATGTGTATCTGTCTCTGCTGGTGGTTTGGAAAGATATATGTTCTTCATTGGAATTGTGATGTTCTCTTTGCTCTTGCTCAGTCCCCCACAAACACTCAAAAACTCTGGAAGCCTAGGTTTTCCACTGGCCACACATTGTTTCTGCATAATTCAATTACGTGCACCAATTCCCTCCTCTCTCTCCTCCCTGACCTGTTTAATCATGTTGGTGCACATGGGTCCGAAAAATTATCTTTCTAAGATCAGCTTTCTCATTGTATTGATCGCATCAGATACCTTCTATTATGAATCACATATCACGACTTTTTGGATTTGAAAGTGAAACTTGTATGTACTTCAGCTACATTGTATAGAAATAAGGTCCCGAATCAGAGTTATAAGAATCTGGCAATGCAAATCAATCAAATGATTGGAAAATCTCAAATGGATCCAAACGTGTGAGATCGGTCAAGAAGTGCCGTCGAATTTTGTCGTATTGATGTTCAACTTTCATAACAATTTTGTTACACGTAGGAGATTATGGACCAGTGATCGAGATTAGCCTCCACAACAATTTGGATTGTGATTTTGAGTCTCTTTTGGAGCCTAAATTAAGATGAAGGGATAATTGTCCAAAAAGTCTTAAATTTATTGTACGATGGCCAATTCAGTCCTAAACTTTTTAATTTTGTCAATTTAGTCCTAAAGCTTTTGGCAATTTGCCAATTTAATTCTAAACCTTTCAATTGTGTCAATTTAGTCATAAAACCTTTTGAAGATTGAAATCTATTATTTGGATAATTGGTCGGAAGAACTATACTGGCAAATCGTCAAAATATTTAAGATTAAATTGGTAAATTATCAAAATGTTCACAACTAAATTGGTACTAACGAAAAATTTAGGACTATATTGGCAAATCGTCAAAAGGTCTTGGATTAAATTAATAAATCATTAAAAAAATTTATAATTAAATTGACGTAATTAAAAAATTTAAAATCGAATCGGTCCATAAATTTATGAGTTTTTGGTCAATTTTCTCTTACGAACGAAAGCGGTGAGAGGGAAGACTCCGTGTATGATCCGGTCATCCCAGATGCCCATGCCGTCATTCATCATGTCACGTCACGCGTTATTTTTCACTGTGCATAGTACACAAAGTTGGTACATGGGATTGTCCAAGGTCGCACCATTGCGTCTACTGGATGAAAGCACCATCCTTAAGAAAGCAACTAAATAAATGACTGTACACGTGTCGAAAACCCATTCGGCCTCTGCACTAAGAAATTTTGAATTCCTCTGCTTCAGCTTCTTCTTTTTTCTTTTTTAAATTTTGATTATGTTTCTCGTTTTTTGCTAATATAACTTAACTTTGAAAACCAATTACTATGACCCTCAACTTCAAGACATATTATGCATCACTCTTTAATATTTCAAGTTTCTAAAATAAATTGATGTACATTTGACTTTAACTTTTCAATTTGCAAAATGCGATATACTGGCTTATCTTTCGATACGTCATAAATGATGTAATTTACGACAACCTTAATCATCTGCCATAAGAACGACATAGTTTTTAATCACACACGAGAAATGAGAGGATAATTCTCATTAGTACATATAGGCATGTTTGATTAACTCCACATTTCACATCCATCACGGTAAGGTAGAGTGCGCATACGTAATTAATGATATAGTAGGCGTGAGATGTATCATCGATTCACAAGTGACTTGGAAAGGCATACCTACTCACACGATAACTATAATCAAAGTCAGAGGAACATCTGTCTTGGGGCATGAAATTAAAAGTTCGTCGTTCCATTAAACCGAATCCGTGCCCAAAAGAGGCAAAAATTCGAAGACTTGCCAAATCACGACACGAATCTCGTCTGATACTTACCTAACCTGGATGTTCATTAGTCAACCATCTGTTCTTGATTGAGCCTATACTTATGTAGCTTGGTTTTTTTACTTTCTTTCAACACTTGCCCAAAAATATACCATTTGAGTTTTGTCAACCCTTTGAAAATCAAAGAGAAAATGATACAAATAGTCTTTAAAACTTTGGCTCAATATGCAATGTGGTCTTTAAACTTTTAATTTGTTTAATGTAATCCTTGAACTTTTCATATATGTTGAATTTAGTCCCTGAACTATATGAAAATGTTTAATGTAATCCTTCCATTAATTCAAGATCATAGACTAGATTGGACATTCTTATATAGTTCATGTACTACATTAAACATTAATTTAAAGTTCAAAGAATACATTGAATAAATTAAAAGTTTAAAGAACATATTGAACATTATACTACAGTTCAAGAATTATATTGAACAAATTAACAATTCGAGGGTCAAAGTTTATTAACCATTAGTGTCATTATCCCAAAATCAAATAAAAAAGACATCTGATAAGTGCTTCTACTAAGATTCGCAGAAGAGACTAAAGGACAAAAGGGGACTCTTCTTCTGCTTTGTCTGTGCATTGGCCTGCATGGTTATCGAAATCCGTCTCTAAATTAGACTGATTAATGGGAAATTGCTGCGAAACAGTTAGGAGGCACAGTCGTCGCATACGTGTCGCCCTGCAACTGGTTGGTGGCATAGTTCTGCTCCCACCTCGGTTGACGCAGACCAATGTGTGCTCAGAAAATTCTGAAATTACGGCTCCTCGATTTACCGAGGACACGTGTCAAGATGGGGTTGCCTTGTGATCCAGCGGTAAAAAAGAAGCTAAAGTTATAATTTATTCTTTTTTTTTTTCAATTACAAATGATGGTCAAGTACTCTGGGAAAAAAAAATGGATTCTTCCATGAAAAGTATCTGGGGATTTTGTTTTGGTGATTTCTATTTTTATCTTATAATTTTATTTGTTATAGACTTTACGGCTCTCGCAATTTGATTCTTATCCTGTTTGAAATTTAAGTATCGAGAAATTAAATATTATATGATATTCTTTTAAGTTTCTGAAGTTTATAATATTCTTTTTATTAAGTTTGAATTTTGAAGAATCCACGATAACAATAAGTGGTAAGTAGCTTTTTTGCCTATCAAATAGGTAATGTTGTTTGGCAAAAGTTTCTATACAGCTCTGTCAAAGCAAATGTATACGTACTACTTTTACACACATTATGAGAAATAGTGAATGATTTTAAATATCGGATTGAGTATATTTGTAAACATTTGAGGTGCCCAATATTAAGAAAATTTGAACATCAGAAGAGAAAAGGCGTAAAAAAGGTAAGAAGTTAGACGCCTACATTGGCTATATGAGCACGACCACTCTTCACCCGATCACGAACTAGCTGGAATCAGTTAGTTTTTTTAGTTTCTTTTTCGACGTTACAACGGTAATTCGATGTCGATGTAGTAGTTATGTGAATGTTTTAATCAAGCTAAGAAGGCTTTAGCGCATGAATTTATGTCTCATAGGTGTTGTCTAGTCTAGAATAGGATGTGTGTGTCTTTTTCTAAATCGCACTTTTCAAAGTACAAAAATTTTGTAGGGAAAATGTCAAATAAGGATCCAAAGTGGGTCTCTTTTTTCAAATAAGGATCCTAAGTGGACAATACTTCAATTAAGGACCCAAAGTGCCAAAACTAGTCTCAAATAAGGACCCAGCTCACCGGCCGGCCAAATGTTCGCTGGTCGGCGACCGTGAGACATTTTCTGGCACCGGAATAAGGGGCAATTTTGTCTTTTTATTTTTTTTATTTTTCCTTTTTTCTTTTCTCTCTTCCCTCTTGTGGCCATCGCCGGTGATGTCTGCCGGCCTTAGGCGAGGGCAGCCTTTGCCGACGATGTCCGCCGGCCTTAGGCGAGGGCAGCCTTCGCCGGCGTCGGGCGACGGCCGCCCTCGCCTGGGCGGGCGAGACCCGCTCTTGCAGAGTCTGGCGAGGGTGAGGGCAGGTCTCGCCCGCCCAGGTGAGGACCACCCTCGCCCACCCAGGCGAGGGTGACCGTCTCCCGACGCCGGCGAAGGCCGCCCTCGCCTGAGGCCGGCGGATGTCGCCGGCGATGGCCACAAGAGGGAAGAGAGAAAAGAAAAAAGGAAAAAGAAAAAAAAAGAAAAAGACAAGATTGCCCCTATTCCAGTGCCGGAAAATATCTCATGGTCGCCGGCCGGCGAACATTTGGGCGGCCGGCGAGCTGGGTCCTTATTTGAGACTAGTTTGGGTATTTTGGATCCTTAATTGAAACATTGTCCACTTGGGGTCCTTATTTGAGAAAAGAGATCCACTTTGGGTCCTTATTTGACATTTTCCCAATTTTGTAGGTAACACTAATTGATTATAGAATTACCAATTTTATGACAAACCTATGCAAGTATGTGAATGACAATAATATATGTGTATATATAATTATATCTATGATGATCCCGCAAAAGTAATTTTAGGATAAAAAACCACGTCGCTCGGGACAATGTTCACTAAACCTACCGCTATCCCCGTCATGATCAACTCATCTAATTGTCAAAAGGCAGACGAATTCTGAATTCCCGTTACGTCCTGCAATTTACATTTAATTTATAGTTCTTCTATTCGCCATATAAAGAGGAACTTTGGCTAGAATTCGATTAGATATTCCAAATCTATCATGCATTTCAAATGCAACCCTAGTTAGTAGTTACCATCTTAATTAACTCCTATTAGCTATAATTATTACATAATTAGGGGAATAGGGCCCTCGATTCAGCTACATTAAATTTAAAGATATGGTTTCAGATTCTCCTAATGGAGCTGGCACCTACCAATCGAAGGGATAGACATCCCTAAAACGACATCAGTAATATCTACTAGTCTTTGTGTGTGTTTGTGGGTGGATCAAGGTCATTTTCAGGTCCATGTTCAGCTATTCCATTTGTATGGACACGAAAAAATTATGCAAAAAAAAAAGGATGAAATTTCATTTTTCGTGCCCTTTTAATGTCTAGAATTCTGGGTATCTGTTTATATTCCTGAAATGTTTTTTCTTTCCAGGAAAAATGTTTCAGGGCGTTAGGACATGTTTTGGTTTTGGGATTGAGAGATCTATTATGCAGATATGAACCTTCTTGTTGTCATTATAAATAACCTAGAAGGACATGAACAATATAGACAGTTTATCTTTATCACCATCCTGATGATCTGCATTTACTTTCCTTCCTCAGTTGAAGAACTTCCTGATATGCCTCTCTGCACGGACTCGGAATACCGATCCAAACGCAAAACTAGAGCCTTTTTCTAGTCTGGCTCTACATAGAACATATCGAGTTCACTTGATGACACAGAGAGAAAGAGCACTTGCAAACTTTGGTAATGCTAAGCGAGATTTCAAACAAGCCTCTTTGAATTAAATCTCTTAAACAAATTTGCAGAATGATAACAGGTTTGGTTAAACAGGAAGATATGAAGGTTTACAAAAGGCGATTGGCACCGACGATGACAGAAAAGTTTTAGTTCTTGGTCAAGAAGTTTCGGGAGAGAATAGGCTAGGCTCAAAGCCAGGGATTGCGTTGAACATCCGAGGGAGGTTCATGGCAAGGAGCAGCCAAGAACCCGGGGTCACACGACGTGAGTGTGGTGCTCTTCCCGCAAGTTGATCTTGAGGCCTCCAAGATTCTCTCCGGTCGCTTCCCACATCAGCATTCGCTCCTTCTTATATTCGACCATGTTCAAGGATCCCCCGAAGCCGACCATTTCAAAATGCTTGGTCAGGTGCTCGACATGCAGCGGGTATGTCAGAAAGGATCCCCTGGGGGTGGTGAAACGATGCCTTCACTACCATCATCGATGCGCAAAGTGACATCCCCAAATTCTTCAGGGAAGTGGAGGATGTGAAATTCTTCCTTGCATGCGTCCAAGGACAGGAGGCAGTTGGATTCGACCCTCATCGCTTGCGAGCCTGACTAGTATTTCAAATATGATATCAAGAATGAAGTAGGGGATACTCATGTTGTCGCCATAGCATGCTTTCTTCGGATATGCCGTTGGAGGGAAGAAGACATCAATTTCTCGATTTTAGCTATGTTCTGGCAATGTACCTGTAAACGACAAAAAAATGAATTTCGTACCACGAGCACAATAAATAGCGGAACAAAGGATATCGTGAAGGAAAACTTACTAGGAATGTAAACTGCAATCAATGTTTTCCGTCTTTGTTGGGTGATCCGGGGTTCAATTTCCTTTTTTCCGGTCGATGTTCCACCGTTAGATCTCAAGAAGCCCCATAATTAATTTGACGACATGTAGTTCCAAAATCGGAAGTACAAATCAATGCACGAATAGTTTGGCAACAATGAATTGCATTAGAACTGTATTTCCTAGAACTCTTTTCTGGATTCTAATACAATATGATAGTTCGTGAAAGTCCGTTTAGGATATCACCTATGAACTTATGAAGCGTGGGACCGATGCACCACGGCAGCCCGATGTAGTATGGTAACCACTTTTGGTATCTTGTTCCATTTTAGCTTTTGGATTGTAAATATAAGCCAATCATTTTAGGACATCCACCTAACATGAAAAATTGTATGGACACAACTTCAATTATACCCATGTTTCGAAAGCGATCACTAGAACGAATATGTCAGCCTACATGAACGCCCTTCAATGATATCAACAAACCTGGAAACCGTATCAGTCCTTCAATTAGTGTTGCCTTCGGCATCAAGTAAAGGCACACACATTGTTTGAAGTAGATTCTAAAATGAATCCTACTCTTATATGGTATCTCTACAATGATACTGTCACTATCCACCCTTCTAATTCTTCACACAGAAGCAAAGTTTTGGCTCTCAATTATGCACTGTGCTCAATTGCTACAAACGAGATGCAATTTCTAGAATCCATAAGAATGGGAACTTCCAAGAAACAAAGATTCGTGTTTCTGAGCAGGAACTTTAGCCAGCAACGCCTTATCATCAGCCCTCGGGAGCTCGTATATTGGACAAGACAAAAGGAAAATGCCCAAATGAGTTCAGATCAAATCAAATCCAAGGTGCATCGACGCGATCTGCAGGATTTTTAGCTCGGGAAGCCATTATTTAAAGGACCCAAAAGGCAAAAGAACAAGAACAAGAGATAAAATGAACAGTCATGTAAAGCATCACTCCTTTCCAATTCACACAGAGAGATTGTCATAGGAGAGGAAGGTATCAACAATTCTACCAGTCAAGACCCCGATTTTGCTTAATTGAGCCGTGTATCAAGTGTGCGATGCGTGAGCGGTTTTGGTTGTATAGTGGACATGACTAGACCTACCATATGGTCAAAGCGACTCAGATACGCTTCGGACTTAGATTTTGTGCCATCCAGGAACTTAATTTGAATCTTAATCCTTCTTTGGCTATCTCTTGAATTCCTTCTAATTAACTCGGATGGATAATATCCGTCCAAATGAGGTGAATTGCTATTTCGATAAAAGTTTCAGGGTGTTCACTTTAATGTGGAACTCTCCGTACATCCTTCTATGGTAAGCCTACTTAGATCCGGCAATTGATCGATCTGATTTGCCTTTTTCCCGAAATTGTAGGCTGTAAGAAGTTTTTTTTGTCGCTCGTGACCCTAGATCAGTCCCCAATACAGTCCTTCCACAAAATTTACTTAACAGTAGACTACAATGTCGGCCATGAATCCACATCAATCTAGTACTCGGCACTAATGGTATAGTAATCCCCGGTACATGCATTCCGATTCATGCACAATGGGAACTATTGTTTCTTTTTACGACGGAAAGTTCACCTTAAGAGAGTACCCAGGTAAACATGCCGAATAGCAAATCTCGAGCGAGTGTAGAAATAATGAAGGGTTTGCATGTGGTGATGATGCGAAGGAATCAGATCATATTCTTCTGCCTTAATGACTTTCTGTGAAAGTTGTTGAGCATACCGGGCATCTCAATGTTACCCCATCAAGCGTGATTAAGTGGATTCATTTCTATGTAGATTGATTTGATCTCCTTCATCCTACAGCAACTTAATTTCGTTTACTCCCTTTCTAAACTGAAGAACCCATCGTGATCCTCTCTTAATGGAAATCCATTAACTATGGGAAGAACATAAGTGAATTCACAAAATAACACAAACAAGCCTTCAGTACTTGCAATTGGCAATGTTAAAGGAAAAGAGTTATTCCTAGACTAAAAGTGCTTATCCCTTGTTATATTTCTGCAAAATAGCTGCTTGAATAATCACAGAACTGGCTAAATAGGGGAGAAAACACAGTACTCACAAAGGGTCAAACTGAAGACAATAAAAAGTTTAGCCTCAGGAGATAAGAAGAGCAACTCTCAGTCACACAGTTTCGGGTGATACGAGGCTAGGCTCGTAACCGCGAATCGTAGTGAACCTCGAAGGGAGGCTAGGGATGTCCAGCGGCAGGTAATTTGCCTTTTTCGGGAAGAAATATGTGAAGTGCATTTTTCGGTTGGAAATGTTACCATAGCAAGCACTTACCCGTAAGAGAAAACATTCCGAGCTCAACCTACCAATGACTATATAAGTCATGTAGGGATTCCACACCACGTGAGTATCATGAAAATCCCAAAAGCAGATGGAAAGGTCTTCGAATTTGTCCCCCGTCACTTCCCATTCTCTCATCCACTCGTTATCATGTTCTACTATAGTCAAGCATCCTCTGAATCCTAGCAGCTCAAGTTCACTGGGTTCGATCGTTGTCGCGAGGGGGACATTTCCATCAGGGACAAAACCTTGGGGGGGTAGGAGCGATTGACTATTATTATCGTGGCGTACTCCAAGGTCGAATTGGCCAACATCTTGGGTAAATGAAATAATCCGAAACTTCTCATGACATACATCATATGATATGATGACGTCACGTTCATTTCCAGAAGCTTTCCAGTGAATGGCCCCGTTCCAGAATACAGGTTCGTATACAAAATAAGTCTGCCAACCTTCAGGTACATCCAATCTCCTCCACGAACTCGCTCCCAGTGTAGTCACTTCGAAGCACCTTCTTCCTTCAATATTAACATATGTACGCAGAGCTTTGTACTTTCCTGTTGAAGGATCGAATCCGAGTCCAACTTGATGACCGCCCATAATTGTTTCTCCTGATGTTGGCAATCTTCTGTACTCCCTCGTTATGGGATTGCAAACAAAAACAGGATCAAGAGCTGAGTAAGAACCTACACATAGTAATCCTCGGCAAGTGCCCATGGCCGAAAGTCCTTTTAGCGGATCAATGTGAATCTGTCTAACCCTGCGTCCCTCGATATCCACCAAAAGAAAAGGTTGTGTGGAGTCATCATCCGCACAAAACGGTTCAAGGATGAGCCACGGTTCCTTGTAATCATTGCTACTCAAAAGATGCTCGATGAAAGTGGCTGATTTTGTTAGGTGACACCAGCCCTTGCAGACACATCTGCAGCGCACGACTGAATCGATAGGAAGCTTGCATAATATTTCTGATATAATCTCTAGAGACAAGTAGGGAATGCTCTCGTTTCTAGTGCTGCTTCTTTTCTCTGATTTCTCCATTCAAGACGAAATATATCAATCTCTTCTTAGTTATGCTCCTGCAAGTTACCCACAGATAAATTCAGTAACCCAAGCTTTAAAAAGAAGCAGAACAAAGGGTTTATAAATGACCCTACGAGGAATCTTAAAAGGGTCCGTGCTTTCATTTTCGTCAATTGCAAAAAGAACTCTTTGACAAATGGGTTTTTCTTTTTTCCTTTGCCGTGGTGTCACCGTTGGATTTCAAGAAGCCTCAAATCTGCACGACAAAATGTTATTCTAATTTTAAGTATGTCGATGCACAAAGCGGTGGGTAAAATGCATCACACTTACTAAAGCACTATTTCGTAGAACTTTTTAGCGGCAACTTTCTGTGCTGCACTAGATAACAAAAGTGCACATAAGATGTAATTTATAAATGACCACTCTGCATCGCTGTCAGATATGATAAAGCTTTAACTTGTCAATAACTTATTATCTCAGGACATCCACATAGTAAAATAAATTATATTGACAGCCTTTATTATATCAATGTTTCCCAAACGATAAGCCACTCTAATTAAAATGGCAAATTATGTGAATGCCCTTCAGCCATATTAACTCTCCCAAAAAGCATGGATAGTCACATTGACTTGTTACTACGCAATTAACACCTCTCTTTCTCTCTCTCTACGAATATCTCTAGGAATATCATTATATACATCTCTCTAGTATTCTCTCGGACACCTAACTCAGATTTGTACCCGATTCATCACCATACTAGGCTTACCAGGTTGTGGCAGCAAATGTCTAGAACTCTCAGGCAGGTTGAGACTACCATAGGCACCAACATTAGGATGCCGACTGCCATTTTGAGCAAGTGTAAAACAACCGACAAAGGGGAAGAGAGAGCGAAGACAGCGACCAATGCTTGCGAGAGGCATGCGCGCAAGAGATTGCTCTATGAAGTGGTGACTGAAACAATAAAGTAAGGCCTTACGAGTAAGCAACGATAAAAAATGTACCATCGACATAGTATGTAATTTATAAATGACCACTTTGCATCGCTCCCAGATATGGTAAAGCTTTTAACTGGTCAATTATCGATTATCTCAAGACACCCACATAGTAAAATAAACTATAATGATGGCCTCAATTATATCAATGTTTTCAAAACGATAAACCACTCGAATGACAATAGCAAATTATATCAATAACCTTTAGCGATATTAACACTCCCCAAAAATGTGGATAGTCACATCGACTTGTTAATACGCAATTAACACCTCTCTTTCTCTCTCCCTACGAATATCTCTACGACTATCATTACATACATTTGTCTAGTATTCTCTTAGACACCTAACTTAGATTTGTACCTAGTTCATCGTAATACCAAGCTTACTAGCTTGTGGCTGCAAATGTCTAGAACTCTTGGGCAGGTGGAAACTACCACAGGCACCAACATTTGAATTCGGGCTGCCATTTTGAGTAGGTGTAAAACAACTGACAAAGGGGAAGAGGGAGGGAAGTGAGTGATCAGTGCGAGCGAGAGGCGCGTGTGCAAGTGAGTGCACTGCGAAGTGGTGACTGAAACAATAAAGTAAGGTCTTACGACTAAGCAATGATAAAGTTAGAAATCTACTTTCAGTGCTCATTGCACTTTTTGAATCGAATGTGGGTATTCAAAAGGTTCCCCTTTTCCATCTACAACGGCCAACACTTCCCTTAACCTCCATTTCTACTTGATTTGAAATATTAGCCAGAGATCATGAACTAATTGTGAGTTTAAAGCGCGTGATTTAACATCACAAAAAAACCTCGATACTATCACATTCTTCACTCTAATGCTACGAAATGAGAAAATTTTGTTCTTGTTTTCTAAACTTTGCCCGATCAATAACAAAAACAAGAAGTGAACTTGCAAGAGCGAAAAGAAATCGGAAGTCCCAAGAAACAAAGAAGAATTTCCCTTTGACGGAGATGACTGCAACGAAGCAGCAAAGTACGTATTCAGATCATTAATCACACAAGCGGGAGAGACAAGAATAATGCTTTAGCCAGCGAGTACAAATTCAGGGGAGGGAAAAAGAACCACCCAAGAACAATAGGAAAATGGTCGAGCAAATTCGGATCGTACTTCACTGCAAGAGTTGCATCAGCAAGATCAAACAGATTCTCAACCGATACGAACATCAATGAGCAAGCAACGAAAAGAAAAGAGAAAGAACATCAAGAAACAGAGAACACAATCGTGTCAACCATGAATCTTCCTTATGCCAACACGAAATTCATACGAAAAAAGACAGAGTCAAGAAACCAACTTTGCTCGCATTCTTGAGTTTGATCATCGAAATGGGTCGTTCAGGTGCTTCGAGCTCATGTTCTTCGCTTTCTCATTGACGAAGAAGACTTCATGTCTTTTTTGTGTGTGTTTGTTTTGTCTGTTCTAACCTAGTCTTTGTTTTAGGTTTTCATTTATATTAATGTGTTGATTGTATTTACCATATTAAGCTTTTGTGATAAAGATTAAAAATTAAGAATTTTAAGCTGATAAAAAATTAAATCTAAGTTTATACAGTGAAGCCAAACACGTCATTTTTCTCACTTATTTAACCTTCCTTTCATACGATTGCATTAAATAATTAGAATTCGAGAAATAAGGACATAAATACAGTTAAGCACATATTTAATGTTGCCCACGACCTGAAAAGATGATTATTCGAGAGTGTAATTTATCTCACATATTAACCCTTCTCTGGGCATTAGAAAGCCAAAAAAAATGAGGGCATAAATATAGTTGAGCAAATCTAGAAGAAACACCCGTTTTGTTAAGTTTTAAATTTATAATGATTATAAATTAGGAAAATTCAAAATTAATCGCACGTTCGTTAGAGCGCGCGCTTGAAATCAATCTAGTTCAATTCAAGCGATTTCTTTTTTTCCATGGCCCTTCCACTCTTCTGCCTCACTGTTGGGCTTTAATTCGGGCACAAGATGCTCAAATGGGCGGGCTGGGCATGGCCCATGAGCTGACCCAACTTCATTGTCCAAACCCGCCCAAAGGGAAAAAAAAATTTGTTGGACGGAAGCCTCGTGAATCCGACATAAGTTGGTTAAAGAACTCGCTGGACATAAGACACACACTTATGAGCAACCCATGCGCGGATATAAGTGGGCACTCGAAATCGAACCCGCGACTTTCGAATTTAATACCGTCCTAGAGTTGAACGTGCGACAGTTCTTTACGAAAGTTCAAACCGATACGAAAAAAAAATCAAAGCTTAGACATTACTTAGAGGTGAAGCATGATAAATGACAGGCATGCATGTAAATGCACAAAAACCCTTTGATGTGATGTGCCCTTTTGACACTATGTACTTGGCTGAGCTAGAAAGTACCCAAACCTGGGTGTTACTTGTTTTCTTCTTGGGTGTGCGTATCAGAGAAAGACTTTCCCAAGTCAATTTTTACTGCTCTGGTGGAAAGTTCTTGCAAACGCAAGCAAAAGATGAGAGCTGCGAGGAGGTAAGCTAGGCCGAGGGACTTGATTCTATCTGTTGGTTACGATTGGTTTGAGCAATCGTCGGCGTTCGTGCTGCCCAGGACGGAGTCTGAATTGGAAGGCTCGATTGGTTCGGGGAAATCGCCGGAATCATCCGCTTTGTGCGAGAGAAGACTTGTAGGAGATTGGAGACTGGGTTTTGAGGCAGTAAATTTATCCTTACAATTGTTGGAAAAAATTTAGATAGCATGAAAAATGAGAATTGTTGGAAATATGTTGAAAAGGATGAAAAAAATAAGATCAATTGTCTGAAACATGTGAGTGTTGGCGTGAGATGTCAATTAGCTGATTGTTGTAATATTTTATTTTAGGAATAGATTAGCACCATATTAGAAGGAATCGTTTTGTTATTTGTGAATATCCTGTTACCATATTAGTAGGAGGAAGTTTAGACCAAACTTGTATATGTATCTCTATTAAGTCATTGCAATGAGTAGAAGAATGTATTCTTTTCCTCAGAAATTTCTTTTCCTCATGGTATCAGAGCCCTAGGGTTTGATCCTTGGGGTACTGTACGTCAATCATCGACTACGGCGCCGCTTTTCGTGGCGGTGCCGTCGTCTCACGCCGGTCAACTTCGCCCCGTCCGATCTTCTTCATCTTCATCTTTCTAGGACCTGCTGTACACCATGGAGGGACAGGAAATAGCAACAACACAATCCAGTGAAGGATCGACGACCACAGCGATCCTTGAGAGTCTTACGGCTGCGATGAAGCAGCTTGCAACACAACAGAATCCACCATCATCGACAGAAAATTCTGCCCCTACAATCGCCATTAAGTTCAACGGCATGAACTATGGCTTGTGGTCCCAAGTTGTCGAGATGTACGTCTCCGGCAAAGACAAATTGGGATACTTGACTGGTGACATTCCACAACCGGCCCAGACTGACCCTGCTCTTCGGAAGTGGAAAATTGAAGATGCCACCGTGAAAGGTTGGCTCATAAACTCAATGGAACCCGCGTTGATCGGAAATTTTATAAGCTTCCCAACGGCAAAAGCAGTATGGGAGTCGGTGGCAACAACCTATTTTGATGGGACTGATACGTCCTAAGTATATGATTTGAAGCGGCAAGTGTCGCGATTGAAGCAGAATGGAGGACCAATCGAAACCTTCTATAACAATCCTCAGGCTCTCTGGAGAGAAATCGATTTTCGCAGACCAAACCCCATGACGTGTGCTGATGATATTGCGAGATATAACTCGACAGTTCAAGAAGATCGAGTGTATCTCTTCCTTGATGGACTGGATGATCGACTCGATAAGGTTAGAGCCGATGTACTACAGATGCAACCATTCCCCACTGTAGAGCAAGCATATGCTAGAGTGAGACGGGAGGATGTTCGACAAACGGTGATGCTCTCATCTGGAGAACATGGAATCTCGGGTGGGGCTATGATCTCTCGACGTGGGTGGGGGGGGGGGAGGGCAGATTCTCGATTCCGTTTGACGACAAGAGGAACACCGAATCGAGATGTTCGACAAAAAGGAGGTGCACAACAACCTATCGCTATCTCTGGAGGGTGTTCTTACTGTGGGAATTCACGACACACGAAGGATACTTGTTTTAAACTCCACGGGTATCCTGAGTGGTGGGAAGAATTACAGAAAAAGAAGAAGGCAGAAAAAAGGGCAGGAAAAGGAAGTGATCAGGCAGCTTTAGTCTCCGGAGGTACTGATTTTTCGTTAGTGCCAGATCAAAAACCAATTGAAGAAGCTGAAGGTAATTCAGGTTGTGTTCTTTCTGTCTCTCACATGGATAAGAATGTTGGATGGATTATTGATTCTGGGGCGACCGATCACATGACCTTTGACTCTCAAGATCTTGCAACAACAACTTCTCCGATGCGGGACTGGATTACAAATGCAAATGGTCACAGCTCCAGTGTAACTGGAGCAGGGGATGTTACACTCTCTAAATCTATCTCTCTTTCAAATACATTGCTAGTGCCCTCTTTATCAAATAAGTTATTGTCTGTAGGACAACTTACCAAAGATCTACAGTGTTGTGTTTTGATGTATCCTAATTTTTGTCTTTTCCAGGACATTCGCACGAAGGAGATTATTGGACGTGGTACTAAGAGGGATGGATTATATTTCTTGGATGATTTTGGGTCGAAGTCAGGTCATGTTTTACATACTCAGGGTAATCTTGACAGAGAAAGAAGCTTGGTTTGGTTATGGCACCGTCGACTTGGGCATCTTTCCTTTGGGTACTTGAAGATGTTATTTCCTGAATTATTTGGTCATTTTTCAGAGTCATTATTTACATGTGAAACTTGTATTCGGGCAAAGAGTCACCGTGTTAGTTTTCCTCCTAGTATCAATAAAAGAACAAAACCATTTGCTTTGATTCACTCTGATGTGTGGGGGCCGTCTCCAATCTCTACAGTTTCTGGTTTTAGATGGTTTGTTACATTTGTGGACGATTGCACTAGGATGACTTGGCTATATCTAATGAAACACAAGGATGAGGTTGCTGCTATATTTGAAAAATTCCATGTAATGATTAAAACACAGTTTGATGGAAAGATTCAAGTACTTCGAACAGATAATGGGGGGGAATATGTGAACAACAAACTTGATGCCTATTTTTATCGGCATGGTATCATTCATGAAACCTCTTGTGCTCAAACACCACAACAGAATGGAGTAGCCGAGCGAAAGAACCGACATATTCTTGAGACCGCAAGAGCTCTTCTCATAGGGAATCATGTTTCGAAGAGGTTTTGGGATGCTGCTGTAGTAACTTCAGTGTATCTAATGAACCGAATGCCCTCGCGGGTGTTAAATTTCCGAACTCCATTGCAAAGCCTTGCTGACCATGTGGAGCTTCTTGGTGTTTTGACTCTACCTCCGAAAGTCTTTGGATGTGTGGCTCTTATTCACTTGCATAAAAATCAACGGACCAAGCTGGATCCACGTGCAGAAAGGTGTGTGTTTATTGGATACGGATCAAACCAGAAAGGCTACCGATGTTA